CAGGTATAATAAGAATGATAACGTGACAAAATGATGTCCAGCTACCTAAGCCTCATTACGCACTTCAGTAACACACTGTGAAAACGCTAATCGTAATGGGAGTCGTGATATACTGTTGCACTGGGTCAGTAGTTCAAACAAATGACCCCTGAGTTCTTACTTTGACGTTTGCATGTGTTTTTGTTACTGATCTGGTTCCTGAACGATCGTTGATGAGTCGTCCTCTCGAAGGCGTTTATACCATCTAGAGACAAAGCGTCACGTTACAGATTTTTCACTATATCCTCAATTTATTGTGCATTGTATTTGTTTGAAGCAAAACTGTTATTCCAAGCGTCGTGACTTTTGACATGCTCACAAAATATCAATAAATAAACCCGAGTCTAGCAAAAGTCATTTTTCTTGTTTCGGCACCATATATACTAAATTGCGTCGGTACGCCGTAAAAACCAAACAAAATAAACACAAAAAAATAAACTCGTAAAAAAGTATCGACTACTTTTACGGGATTTTCTGAAAGTTACATACTGATTAATAACATTTTAACTTTTAAGATGGCATGCGGCGGTTATTTAGGATTGATAAAACGTCGTTCATGAAGAAAAGTATTATATAGTTTAACTATTAACATAGATAATTAATACAACGTATATCTGCAAGTATATGTGTTTATTTATATATACATGTATAGAAAAATTAAAACAAACTGCCGTCAGGGCTTTGTGCACACCAACAATGACAAAGTTTGGATAATCACTAGTTTTATTGATGCTCATTTTGAATATTATTTCTGAAACAGGTATCAAATGATATTCTTTATAATGTGTATTTTTCAATTATGTTGGTATTCATGGATGGTTTTTATTTAAAGTTGTTTATATAAACTATTACATGAAATCAAAATACGTTTATAATGTTTTAGGTGGTGAATCGGATAGCTGATATCAGCCCTCATGTAACTCAAAACGTAGCCAATTTTAGAAGCCGGGCAAAGGTATGTGCAAAGATATACGTGCGTTAGTAGTTGCTTTAATTTGTTTCATATATAAATAATTATAAAAACAGAATACAAATGCCGATACTTGATTTTTTATGCCATACATAATGCCACAGTTCTAATTAAATATAATACATTTCCAAATAATGTACTGATCACGTGTTTTGAGGACACTGATAATCTTTTTTTACACCTTAGTGCAGAACTTAAGCACAGATGAGATCATGATATTATGCCGTAATAACATAGTTGGCCTGTTGTAAGTGAAGTTCAAAAGATCTAGAGAATGTGAGCATGGACAAGGCAGCGTACTGCCATGAAATCTACATACGTAATGTCTCTAGTTAAAAACAACCGTACAAGTGTGAGACTCAATTTTACGCATGCTACAAAATATAAAATAGTTTCCTTTTTATGCCCCCGCCTCAATCATGGAAAGAGGGTATACAGTGTTACCATTGATCTAGTGCGTCTGAAATCCTTGTCCGGATCATAACTTATGCATTTAGGGATTTAAAGTAATATGTGCAGCATAAGAAGACGGTGTGAAATGCGCTAAAATTATACCTCTAGCACAATTTTCGAAGTCAAACTTAGAAATCAAACATCAACAATTAGAAATTCTTGTCCGGTTAATAACAAATAGTCTGACACACATGAATAGCGTGATAAAACAATAAGTCATGCACAAGATCTCGAACTCAAAGTCCAAGGTCAAGGTGACATTTAGAGGCCAAATGTCATGCAAAATCTAGACACTAAAGTCGGAAGATAGAAAATCTCTGTTATGCATCAAGTGATCGTAAAACGAGTTGGCACACATATTTAGCATTATGAGCCTGTGTGTCATGCCCTTTGCACCAAAGCAGCTCGAATAACTTTCTGGTCCATAACTATGTCAAGCATAAAGGGATTCCGAAATCAATTGTCAAAAGTGGTGTTAGGCATATAGAATCCTTGTTATCCTAACAATATGTATAACCAATGCATTACTTTCAAATTGAAAGATTACTTATTACTTACTGAACTTTTCTTACAGCTTTATGCTAAGCTACAGACTAAACTGAGAATATGTGCTCTGTCACTCAAAAAGCATGGCCTTTTGGCCTTTTTAAAACACTGTTGACCTTTGACATCTAATTATTATTCGGTGTCCTAATATATAAAGCTTGGTTTACCGTGCCGTTCAGAAACAGATCTAGTTGTGTACATAATTGAACTACTCTTGGTATTTCTTTTGTTGTTATCATGGAAGTACACTATAATGCAGATGCACAACAATGGAATACATAAAATCCTTTAAAAATTGCAATTGGTCAAACTATTATATATGATTCATCATGTCAAATTGTCCATTTGCAGCGGGCAGATGAAGTTAGACGATTGGTAAAACGCTCACACGGACCACTTGGAGATCTAGATGACACTTACATTGTAATTATGTCATTTTTGTGTTATCGTTTTGCTAAACTGTAAATTGAAACAATTTTTTTAAATTAACCTTATTTCATGTATTTCCTTTAATTTTGTAGGATTTCCTTTGTCAGTTTGTTTACTTTTAATTGTTGTATTTTTCACGGAATTCATATTATGAGAATTACAATGCTGGTGAGGTTAGTCATAATTACTTCCAGAATATATACAAATCGACATAATACAATTTAGATACAAGTCAATATATTCAAAGGAATGTATTAGAAGTGAAGACATACATTGTATATAGTCTAAGAAAAAATCTTCCCCGTAAGTTAATTTTCTACGTATGTCGGGTTATATATCGAAAGGATTGGAATATAAATAATAAAATATGAGAAATATGAATATGTAATATTGATAGAATAGAGCATAGCAATAAATGAGGACTAGTTAAAAGACAAATCAAACAAGTAAGATTAAAATAAGGTACTCAAAGGAGCAAGAAGAAAAGAAAAAAAGTACTAAGAAAAGAAAGAAATGTTAGTTTTCAATTGATAAAAGATGCATACTACTCGTGCAATAAAAGGACTATATAACACTTACAGGAAAGTGGATTGATAGTTCTTTCTGACGCAAAAGTGTCTGAGGAAAAAATAGATTTGCTTACAACGAAAGGATATCCAACAGAGTGTCAAGGACAAGGTAAGTTCTGCAGTGCTTATAGTTCTCTGTATTTTTTTATAAATACAGTAAATTCTCTCTATTAAGACCACTAACGGGACTGACTCAAAGTGGTCTTAATAGTGAACTGGTCTTAATAGTGAATAAGTCACTTTAACAGCTGACGAAGTCCAACTTAACTTAATGTTTACCTTGTATAGTTTATGCACATGGTAAATGTACTTAATTAAATGGCTTTTACCCTCCTTTTCACTTTCATTTATAAATTTAACTTTCTCTTTTAAATTTAATTCTTTTCTTTTTCTTTTTTCCATGTTTTTATTTTTGACAGGCTAAGATAGCAATAATAGAAATGCAGACTAAAGAAATAATGAGGTTCAATTTTTTCAAGTTATAATATACACTTAAAGATGCCTAATCTCATTTACTCAATTCTATTATATTCACCTAGAACAACAAATGGAATTAAATCTTTGATCTTAAGAAATTTGCACTTCTCACTTCTCAATACATTAATTGCATACCTAAATAAAGCACACACGAACTGATAATTTGGTGTAATTAGCAATTTTTACCATACTTGCTATAAATTGTGATGCACAACAAACAATTTTAAATGCTATTAACCTGTTTATTACATCCTAATAACGCCGACAAATTAATCGTTTCTCACACTATAGCTGCTTAGATTAATTAGCCAGAAGTGGTTTAAACTGATCATGTTGACGCTTGAATGCTAAAGATACATCGTAAAGCAAGCGTCTAATCAATCGATATATATTAATGACCTCATTTGACCCGGTGTATTTGTTTACGCCAGAGGGAAGATTACGACAATTAATGGGGGCAATAAACACCAAGTGATGTCTGGCCATTATGTTGCATGGTCGTTATACAGGTTAATGTTTTGATAAGAAATACACACAAATGTCTGACAGAAGTGGTCGTTATGCCGGATTAGAGGCGTGGTCGGTATACTGGTCATTTTTCTCAATGAATAAAGAAGGCAATTATTTTGTACTTTTAAAAAGTGCCCGTAATAGCGGCGTGGTCCTATTTGTGGCGTGGTCGTTAGGTGGCATTTTACTGTAGCTATTATTTGGTGTTTTGTTAATGTTCACCATTCTTATTGAACACGCTTAAGAGAATGTAGTCTTAATAGTTATTGAATTACAAATATTTTTGTTACTTATTAATTTCATTGTGGTAAGTATTCGTTTAGGTTTGCATGAATAATCTCTTTTTCTTTGTTGCATCATCATCATTATCATTTCGTTCAGCTACAAAGCCACGAGCTCTATCATATTCCACGTCGACAAAGCGAAACGTTGGTAATTTAGATTTATATTTTGTAGGGTTTATCAAATCCTGACATCAACACTTATATAATTGTAGTGATGTTACAACATTATTTTTTGAGTATACTTTAATTTAGGAACATGCTTACAGAATGTGTTGGTACAAAAAGAGACTTCCTTAATTAGTATTTTGTGGAACAGTCTTGCATTTAAATGATAGTATCAACAATTTGTAACGAATGTTTCTCTATATGCAATTATTTGTTATGTTAGTTTGTACTGGACACATGCGATCTACATAAAAGGTATCATCTGCTGGATCAAAAACAGTGTAAAATTAGTAGTCGGCAACGTATAATGACTGGGTATGTTATTCAGAAAAGCTGATAAGGCGGACCAGCCGCCGATATACAGTCACAAGTGAATTATAGATAGACTTACAAAGCAGACAATAAAGCAAACAAAACCGAAGGAAAAATGTGCCCATGTGTATGTCTCGTCTATATTATATATGGAACCTATCATTATTTATAAGCTTTATGAACAACGATAAAAACGCAACGTTGTAACGTTTACTAAAAGATGTTATAATGAAACATTTTTCAGGAATGCCACCGATGCCGGACAGTAAGTGTTTTATCGTAATACATAAGTTATTTTAATCATTTCTGAGCATTATCTCTGCAAAGATTAATCGTATATCGGATATCATATGCTTTTATCGACAGATGAGAAATGTCATTATGTTTTAGTTAGTGTTTTCTGTCGAAAAGGATTGATACACAAAATGCTGCCCTTATAAGTTTCATATAGTCCAAATTTTAAAGAATTACTCATAAATAGTCTTTGTTATTTTCCGATAAACAATAATAATATAGTTAAAAAAACGTTGGAACTTTTGCTACAAGATATAAATATTATTACGTTGGTAATTTAAATTTATATTTTGTAGGGTTTATCAAATCCTGACATCAACACTAATATAATTGTAGTGATGTTACTACATTATTTTTTGAGTATACTTTAATTCAGAAACATGCTTACAGAATGTGTTGGTACAAAAAGAGACTTCCTTAATTAGTATTTGGTGGTACAGTCTGGCATTTAAATGATAGTATCAACAAAATACATTTGTAACGAATGTTTCTCTTTATGCAATTAATTATTAGGTCAGTTTGTACTGGACCCATGCGATCTACATAACAGGTATAACATAATGCACCTTTTGACATTCATTAAACAAAATGTTTTATTTTTTTCACAAACTATTGTAAATATATCAACTGTATAAAATTTTCTTCGTGAAAACTGACCTCGGACATAAAGGTAAATCGAACTTTGCATGGCACTTCTGGTTCAGAAACAGTGTAAAATTAGAAAGAGCAACTTTTAATAACTTGGTATGTTATTCTGAAAAAGCCGATAAGGCGGACCAGCCGCCGATATATTATCACAAGTGTTTTAGAGATAGACCTACAAACCAGACATTAAAGCAAACAAAACCGAAGGAAAAATGTGCCCATGCGTTTGACACGTTTTTTTATAGGGAAACAAATCTTATTTATAAGCTTTGAACAAGATGAAAAGAAACGTTGTAATTTGTAAAAGATTTTTTTACAAATTCTTTTTCAGTGAGGGCGACGATGCCATGGGGGGAAAGTATTTTCCGTAAAAAATAAGTTATTTAAAACCCATTCTGGCCAATATTCCGAAAGATTAGTCTATACGGATTAGACTTTTATCGTTTAGTAAAATTTATTATTTTAATTTGTTTTCTGTGAAAAAAATGATACACAAAAGCTGCCCCTTACAATTTTTATATACCCCAAATTTTAAAGAAATTTCTAAAATAGTTTTGTTTTTTTCCGTAAAATAAAATATGTTTAAAAAAAGTTGGAACTTTTTCTCAAAGGATATAAATATTATTGACGTTGGTAATTTTAAATTTCACTTTTTGTAGGGTTTTATCAAAACTGACACAACACTAATATAATTGTTAGTGATGTTACTAATTTTTTTTGAGTATACTTTAATTCAGAAACACTGCTTAACAGAATGTGTTGGTACAAAAAGAGACTTCCTAATTAGTATTCGGGGGTACAGTCTGGCATTTAAATGAAAGACTAAATACATTTGTAACGAATGTTTCTCTTTATGCCAATTACTTGTTATGTCAGTTTTGTTCCTGGACCGCATGCGATCTACATAAAAGGATTCCATAATGTCCCTTTCTGACCATTCATACATAAAATGTTTTATTTTTTTTCACAAACTAATATTGTAAACTTATATATCAAACTGTATAAAAATTTTCTTCGTGAAAACTGACCTCGCGGACATAAAGGTTAATCGAACTTTGTATGGCAACTGCGGTTCAGAAACAGTGTAAAATTAGAAATCGGCCACTTGTTAAGAAACTTTTAATAGCTTGGTTAGTTGTTCAGAAAAGCCGATAAGGCGGACCAGCCGCCGATATATTATCACAAGTGTATTAGAGATAGACCTACAAACCAGACAATAAAGCAAACAAAACCGAAGGAACCATTATTTATGGAATCATTATTTATAAGCTTTATGAACAACGATAAAAACGCAACGTTGTAACGTTTGCTAAAAGATGTTATTATTAAACTACATCTTTCAGGTATGCCACTGATGGCGGCAGGTAAGTGTTTTACCGTAATACATAAGTTATTTTAATCATTTTTGAGCAATATATCCGCAAAGATTAGTCGTATATCGGATATCATATGCTTTTATTGACAGATGAGAAATGTCATTATGTTTTAGTTAGTGTTTTCTATCGAAAAGGATTGAACACAAAATGATGCCTTTTTTATATAGCCCCAATTTTTAAGAATTACTCAAAAAATAGTCTTTGTTATTTTCCGATATGCAACAATAATATGTTGGAAAAAGAAACAGTGGAACCTTTGCTACAAGATATGATTATTAAACTTACATTTTCCAGGACCGCCAATGCTTATGGACGGTAAGTGTTTTACAGTAATGAGTGCTTTATACTTGCTTTATACTTTCTGAGCAATATCTTCTTCCTGCAACGTATTAGTCGTAAATCGGAACATTGATTTGATTCCATGCTATCGTTAGAGCAAAAACTGTGATGTATGGAAACATGATTCATTTCATATTACCAGGATAACTATTAAAAAAACTAACTATACAATATCATCCTGAAATAGTTTTCGGCATCGTTAAGGAAACGCATTGTCAGTTTACTTATGCAAAATTGTAACAAATATTTTATTGTATCATTTTCTTTTAATCATGTGCTGTTAAATATATCTGAAGAATAACCATGATGATAATGGATAATGATAACTTTCATTAAATGATTTGTACACAAATGCTCATCAGTTAATATTTGAAAATAACTTTCTGATATGTGACAATCTGCTAATGTATTTATTGATACCATTGTATATATAGAAGTAGCCAGGTGCACGGAAATATGCTTAACACATTCAATTTTAATACTTATCTATCTTAATCGTAAAACATATGATTTTTTGTGTAACATGGCTATTGTTTTACTGTTTAAGGATTGGCCAAAGATAACATACTTGAGCCTGGTGAGTAATATTTAGGCTATGTGTTTCTTACATTCTGTATTTATAACCTGTTTTAAATGTTAGTTATTTAAAGTCAACATTTAAATACGCCGCTAGTTGCCTACGACCCAATTGAACATTTAATAATCGATTGGTGTTCAGCGCGAAGAATGCAGACGCTACTGCAAAATTGAATTATAATTGATTCTCTATTATCACGAATTTCACTTTGTTTACTGAAATAACATTTTTTTAGTTGTACTTTGAAAGTTTAGGTTTTTCTTCGTTAGTAAAATGATTATTAAAATCAATGTTTGCAGGTCCATCCCTTGAGGAAATCGTTCGGACTAGGTTTCCCGACACGTGGTTATGGGATGATTATAGAATTGGGTTAGATATCTTTATTTGCAATATAAATACGTCAAAACAATTTATCACCTTACTCAAGAATCCACACTCACGAACAACCAGTTTTCATTTTAAATCTTCTCCGATATTATCGTAGTGGTTATAGGCTTTTAGTAAAAGTGTGTCCGGCTAGACTATTTATTTTAAAAATTTAGAAAGTTAGGAGATGGACTTATTCAGAATCAGAAATAAAGGGATTTTATTTACAAACTCAACAAGAATAAAAACACTTCATACAATCATAGCTCTGTTTTGTCGGCACATACCTACTTAAGCCAGCGCTAAAGAATGGGACACTTTCAATATTTCCCACAAACAAGCTAAATAAAACCGAGTCGGCATCTTTCAACTTTTTGAATTTTGTTTCATTGCTGTCGAGGTTTTTTTTCCAAAATTTATTGTAATGGAATATTTGATACATTATTTGATTTTAACCATTTATGTAAATTCTCAAATTGATTATTTAACGACACACTTGAAATATGAAAATAAATACTGTATACGTACATGTATAAGAAGAATAAATATATCATCAAATGATATAAAACTTAAGGTTGCATTTAGGGGCCATCAGAAATATTTTATCTACCACATGCGAACACGATAGCTACTACATGCGCACGCGATATCTACCACGTGCGCACGCGATACATACTACGTGCAGACGCGATAGCTTTTACATGCCCTGGTAATGATTGACCAACGTAGAGGCTATCTCGTGCGCAAGTAGTACTTAGTAGCTATCGTGTGCGCTCATAATAGCTATCGCGGTTGCACGTCGTAGCTATCGTGTGCGCATGTAGTAGCTATTGAGTGTGCACGTAATAAATAAAATATCTCTGATGTCCCCTCTATGCCACCGTATAAATATAAACTGAATCTTGTAAACATTACATTTAAGGTTGTAACAATCCCTTTTGCAGTTCCATGCTATATAATGATATCTATATGCGTTTATTATTTATAATTTTAGGTCAAGTGGGGAAATAAATGTCAATCTGAATGTACCCGACTCCATGACAACGTGGGTGACGTCAGTATTTGCACTTAACCCAAAGACGGGATTTGGAATTTATGATTTAAAGCCAGAGGTATACTGCTAAACTATAAATAAATGTACAATATTTGATTTTTTTGAGTTCTTCAATCAGTTTTGCTTACAGGAAATTAATTTATCTGTAAGAAACAATTATTCAGAAACAGTAAGTTGCTATGAAGAAATAAAAGTCATTAAACGCTGTTCACACAGGCAATACCTATAATACCTAATATCAGTAAATAACAGAGAGAAGCAGAAGTCCTTGTATCGTAATAAACCAACAATCTTACTTTCCCTGAATAACAAAACATATAAATGCAATTGCCATTCCACGCCAAGTAAAAGAATGCGTTTGCTCTAGAAAAAACAATGGGCAAACTAGATAAAAAGGATAAAAAGGAATTTTGAAAGAGGATCAGAAGCCTGCATATTACAAACAAGACATCAATAATGTGCGGATTTCTTCAAAAGCTTTTCAAGCTTCCTACTCAATCCGTACAATTTAGTATTTGTCAGTTATTATGTAAATGAAATTTTTACATAAAACTACGACGTCAAAAGTAGGCTAGTGTTAAAACCACTGAACACACAAGTTGAAAAAGGTCAAATAGAAGGAACTTAATTACCAAAACAGATACAGACAAAAAATGTCGTTATTCAAGGACCGGAAACATTACATGTTTGTTAATATTGTATTGGTCGACTTTTAACGGCCTCCACAAGCACAAATATCACAGATCAGATGCTGCAATAAGATAGAGAAACAAAACCCTAATGTTCGCCTAAAACGACAAAATTGGCTTAGACCGTGTTCTGCGTTGTCATACATAGTTTTGCCTTCCCGTTGTGCCTTTTGACATTGCGGATATTGGCGCTTCTAAAGGGGACCGACCACGAGCTGATATCATCGTTCATTGGCGAAAACTAACTGAGATGACATTTTGACAAATAGCATCAACAACAAGGACTGTCACTTACAATTGTTCTCGTAAAATGAAATGTTATTCATAGCAAACTTACCACCTTTACTTGGAGTTAGATACATGACTCTTGGACGCGACACGTCGTCTTGATGTTGTAGACATTTGTGCCAACTTAATTTCAAAGCCTTGAAAAAAAAGTTACACTCCGGGCACAAATGTGTACCTTCCAACTCTTCTTGTGAGAATGAACGTACGTAAAATACTTTGTAACTTAAATATTTCTATATATCTTTCCAATACTTTATCAAAGACTATCATTTCCTCAACAGTCTTATGTCTCAAAAGTTTTTCCTCTTAGTGCTACCAAGCCGTAAGCGCAACCCCATAATTATGAAGGCATTTTAAAAATCTGTGTAAAAATACCTAAATTTGCTAGTATTATTTCAGGTAACAGTTAGAAAAATGTTCTTCCTGACAATGGACCTTCCAGCGTCGATTGTTCTTGGCGAAGAGTTTCTCCTCCAGATTTCAGTCTTCAATAACTACCCTGTGACTAAACTGGTAAAATCAATAATAAAGCCTATTGATCATTTTGATTAAGCGTCCATTGCAGAGAGATTAAGTGTGTTGCCTCCTAACCACTCCCCTTACTGCCGTGGGTTATGTCAGGGACTTGCACTATTTCATATGAGGAAGCTTTCCAGCTAGTTTATAGAAAGTGGTGGTTCTACTCAGTTGCCGACAGGTGCTTCTGACGACTTTCTCCGCAGAAAAGGGGGCAAGTCACCATATAACATAGGTTTGGTTCGAAGTAATGGTATTGAATGTTTCAAAAGGTTCAGCTGTTAAATGTTGAAATTATGTTAATATTTATGACACATACATCGAGAATCTTGCAGTAAATGATAACAAGAGATTGTTAGTTAATGAGACAAATATAAAAGGTCTGCCATAGCAGCTGTAAGCATATATTCAGGAAATGTTTAATTTATCTCTGTGTACACTATATCATCAAGAAAATCGATTAGGTAATTTGCTAATGAAGAAAACAAAAACAAATAAAAAAAACTGTTTTCGTTTTAAAGGTTTTCATACGGATAACGATGTCAGATAATCCAAACAACCCTATTCCAGCTTCGGCTGAAGTAAGTTAACTTTAGTAATAACTATACAAAAGTAATCAACTATACAAGTACATTTCTTTTATTTAAACAGTTAATATAACGGACAGGAACATTGCTTATTGATTCATTTTAATTAAGGTATATTGTATTGAATTTATAATAAGTTAAAATACTGTCGCCGATATGGTAAGGTCGTTGACTTGATACCACCTTTTTCTTTACCGGTGAAGAAGTGTTCGAATGGGTGTAATTCATATTATGTTTTTAATTTAGAATTGACTTCTTATTTGTATATTCCAGGTGAAAGGAAACGATGGTCATTCAACATTCATTCGATTTCAGCCTGAAAAAATTGGAGTATTAAATATAACAGTTAAAGCATTTATCATGGACAATATGTTCTTTTCTGTACCAGACAAAATAATGAAAAGTGTTGTTGTACGGGTAAGTTTCCCAACACGTTTAAGAGTTTATGTATCTTTTGTCATGTATTGCTATTGATATATGTATTGATATTCACTTCTATTAGTGTTTACCATATAAGATATATGTCTCATAAAAAATAGAGAAACACGGTAACCTTAAAAAGACTCAATTACACCGATTCTTCAATTTTCATTGTTTTACCTTTTTATTTTTATTTTTATCGTCTCGAGGTATTTTCCATTTTCAAAATTGTAAAATATACATTCGAAATCTTGTTTGAATTATGTGAAAGACATGCGGTGATTTGAAGTACGAAATATAGATTTTGATTTTAAGTTAATACATAAATTGTTGAAAACAAAATATACGCCTATAAAGGCCATTAGTCACGTAACAAACGGTCGAAAAAGGAGTAAACATGTAATTTCATAATTGATTTATATTGACTTCGAAATTGTGGTCATTTTTTATTGTCATTTTACATTCAAACAATTACTCTGTATCTGTCTATTCCCTTTGAAATCCCACGACAATTATGTTGGGGTTTATTGTTCGGCGGTGATTCGTCTATGGTACTCTTTAAAACATTTCTGTCCCAATTAACCCCATCATAGAAAATCGACAGTACATCGTGTATTTTTTTCTTTTTTTACGTGCATTGAAGGATTGATAAAAAACCTCGCAATATTGTGTCCAAAGCATCATCTTAGTGTATTTTTTTGACATAAATTTCCAAACATGATATAAATGTAATTAATGTGACATCCGTTGATTCATAAAACATATTAAGTAAATAATTAACTGTTATTGTTCCAGCCGAATGGCGTTTTTAAAACAACCAATGAACAACATTTGATATCCGTTACACCAGCTTCCAGCCCAGTTACAAAACAAATTACCATTATTACTCCTGACAATATGGTTGAAAATTCCAAATTTACTACAATCATTATAACCGGTTAGTATATCAATGTTTTTTCTAATTTCATTACATTATGACACATAAAGCGTCGTAACGTTTTTTTTTAATTTTTCACATTAACAATAATTATTCAGAAAAAATAATCTCAAATGATATTCTCCAGTTCTGCCATATTAATAAACCTCAGAGTAATTTTATCTTTGCTTTTGAAAATTTATTCAAATTTTGATAAAAATAATTCAGGAAATTTCATGGTACCTAGTATTGAAGGTTTAGACAGTTTGATAAAAATACCTTCTGGTTGCGGGGAGCAGAATATGATTCATTTTGCCCCAACAATATACATCACGGATTATCTTACTATCGTGGGAAAATTGACTGCAGAAATACGACTTAAATCAGCTGAAAGTTTGCATGAAGGTAACAGTTCTGACATCATTTGGTTGACTGTTAAGAATATTTACATTTAAAGAAAGCAGTTTACATTTTTATAGTTTATTTTAGAATTGTAGCAGTGACAATAAGGATGTTACCTATGTTTGTTAAAAAGTTTATGACATTGATATTATTATATTATCTAGTTTTTGTTATATTTGTTGTGTTTCGCTGTTTGGATTGAATGTGATGCATAATCTCCCTACATGAACCTTATCTTTGACATATCAGATCATTTGATTACAATAAAAATTTCACTACAACACAATTATGTGTTACGAATAAACATAAGTCAAAACTTCTATTCCATTGTCAAATAAAACAAAAACAACAACAAAACACTGTCTTAAGAAGAAACAGTTAAAAATAGTGAAACGCGCAATAGGTTGCTTAATTGCCATTCAGACTTTCATTTGGCCATTTTGAATTTCAGGATTACAACAAGAACTGAAATTTAAACGCTATGACGGTTCATTTAGCGCATTTGGAAATCGTGATTCGTCAGGAAGCAGCTGGTATTTTTACGATCAAATGAATACATTTATATATGTATATCTTTATCTTAAACAAAGTTCAATGTATATTTAACAGTTATGTAAAATATAACGTAACATATAATTATTGAATAAATTCGTAATTAGTCAAATCCTCCAATTTCACCAATGACACCGGAGCAATTATAACTGTTACAAATTACTGTATATTTATATATACCACGATAATGGACGTTATTAATAATCAAGTGGCAAATTTATTGATCAACCCTCTAGACCTCACTCCATTTGTTTGTTGGAGATAATCCATCGTATAAGTGGTTCAGTTAGCGACGCGGAAATATTTGCGAATTCAAGAAAATCGATAAAATTTCCTCTAGCGTGAATATCACTCAACATGTCATTGAATTCTACTCGTGCAAGATTCGCTAATATTTCCACACGCGAAATGTGTAAAATTTCATTTTTTTTCCTTTTTATGTCAGGCGGAAATATCCACTCCTACTTTAAAGGTACTATATTTTGATTATTTCACATGATTTTCATTATGATACAAAGGCTGACGGCGTTCGTATTGAAATGCTTTGGGCAAGCGAAAGGGCTTATACAAATTGATGATAAAATTATGGTGAACGCTATGACATGGTTACTGAGGTATCAAAATAGTGACGGATCTTTTCGAGAGCCTGGAAGGGTTCTTGACTACCAGATGCAGGTAAACAATGCAGCAAGATTCATGTCATTTACATTTTATAATTATTTTCAAACGATTTTGAATTTGCTTTTCTGGCATTGTTAGTGTTGTTCTCGAATATATCAATTTTTTTTATAAAATTCAGTAAATTGTTGGTTTCTTTATTATAGTTTTCTTTACATATATTTTATTATAATTTGAACATTTCATGTATCAAATTTTGTAACGAACAACAAACATTTTTTTTTTGTTTTAGGGTGGAACTTCTTCTGGAATAACTATGTCAGCTTTCATTATAATTTCATTATTAGAAAACAAAAACATGGGAGGTGTTCAGGTAATAGAAGTAACACTTTTCTATATAACCACAAGATAACTGACATTCCCTGTTATATTAATTCAGCCTTTAAATTAAAATATTCATCAATATTGTTGTGTAATTACATAATTGCATATGTGGACCTTTAATAAAAGTAAAATAGAATTTTGATTTCTGAAAATAGAAAGTTTCAGGCATTGTACAGATAATAACATAGTTAGTTCTGTTAAAACAGGGTTTAACCAGCGCAATTACAAAGGCTTCGTCATATTTGGAAGGAAAACTTCACGATGTCACAGATTCTTATACACTTGCCATTCTTTGCTACGCTCTTGCAAGTGCCAACAGCCATTTGAGATCAACATGTTATATGAAGTTGAAAGATGCTGCAATATACGATGGTTTTATTTCAATATACATTTTCTGAAATAAAGATGATATGAAAACTGTTATTAGTTAGAAGAGTCTCATTTATCAAGTGTTTAAATGTTTCGAGTAGGAAATGATTTGAAGTCGTAATAACACAAACAATATGCGATACATATTCTCAATAAATATGATTCAAAATTAAGTTACTTAAAGCTAGATATAAAGTTTTTTTAAAGATTTAAAGAAAACACTTTAATCTGATAGCATTAAGATATGTTATTCATGACCTTACGCATTCAAATATTTTCTTTGTAGATGATAAGGTTCACTGGGAAGCTAATCGTAAAGTCTCCAAGAGGGAAGTAGGTACCCAGGTATTAACAGATAGAGCACCGGCAAAGGATATAGAAGCATCATCATATGCTTTGCTAACGTACATGAAACTTGGATACTTCTCAGAGGCTTTCCCTATCGTAACATGGCTTGTGTCACAACGAAACCCGACTGGTGGCCAGAGTTCTACTCAGGTAATGAACATTATACATATATATAGTTACGATCATGATGGCTTAAACTGAATCTATAATACATATACGGAATCATAACAGTGACAGAGTGGATACATAGACATCAAACTCAGTAGCTGTCTAAAGTGTGTTGCTTGATGCTGACTATATCATTGCTGATAACATAACTTTCAGGACACAATTATATCAATACAAGCAATGGCCGAATATGCAAGTAGCGGGAATGGTGCACCAGGTCCAGGCTACGGGGTATTTTTTAGACTATCTAGTTCAGGGAATTTCAAACATGAATATTCAATTAACTCTGCTACTTTCGACTTCGTACACAGAATCGAGGTAAGTATCCATTCAATTATCTTCGTATTTATTTACATAAATACCACGTGAGATTTAAAACTAGTGTGCTTTGTAATTCAAAAAGTATATGCATTTAGTTTCAACTTTTCTTCCTAAGTACAGCAGAAAAGTAAAAGTGAAAAAATATAAAGATCAAAATCAACTTCAGTAAGACAATATACAGCTTTGTTTCAACGATAGTTAAGTGATGACATTTGCAAGTGCAATTGCTTTTGTAAGGATTGTCGGACATGTATATCTGAAATTGAAATTGACCATCTCTGATACAATATGTAATGATCCAAAGAATTGACACTTTAGTCAATTTACAAGACATGACCGTTCTTCTGAAATCAGAACTATATTTTTCTGTGGTCAAATAGAACATTTTGTCTATATAACCTTTTTCTTTAAATCAATCATTGTACTTTGGTCATACTTTAAAAAAAGATTATTTACTTGTTTTAAAAACAACTGTGTAAAGTTGTATTTTATATTCAACGTATATAATATTAACTGTTGCCATTAAATTCTTATAACTCTATGATAAGCCTGTATGTTTTGAAAACAAGCCATGATTGCCTCACAGTCAAAATTAAACTGAAAGTTAGCCGGCGTGAAAAAAAAAGCTCACTCTATTAAATTACACAAATACTGATTTTTAATGTGACTTATTGAAGATAAACAATTAAACATGATATCTATGGTATGATTATGGTTCCAACAATACAAAAATGAGTGATATAGAACAAATTTTTCTAGATAGCGAACTTACTTAAAGTTAATTTTTACCAGCTCTTAAAATATAAATGATAATAAAAGTCTTTGATCAGATGGATAAGCAACATAATTTTATAAAATCTTTGGGTCTGATATAAAATATATCTACATTAACTCTATCAAACATTCTTTTGAAATTAGAAATTTGACTGAAATTCAGAAACAATGTGTCATCACTCTGTTACCATAAACAAACAAAGATACTCGGTTTTTAGGGAAACTGGTAAATAATACAGTGGATAAAACTTTTATACAATGATCCACAAAACAGTCTTATTGATAAGTGACATGTGTCTTTAAAGTGATTAGAGGTGTACGCAAGGATTTCCACTCTCTCGTATATTTTTTTAAAGCATTCGACTCCATTCCAACTGTATCATTAAACATGAAAAAATATAGGGGATAACCATAAATGAAATTGAGGTCAACATCTTTTTGTTTGCGGATGATGCAACGTATGTAACTGATGGGTAGAATGGATCTTTTGAAACATTTATTGCATTACTCGATGATTTCAACACCATTTCAGGCCTAAAATGAAACGAAAGAAATTTCACGTTTTAAAATTAGACCGAATCTAAATACTGTCCAATTGACTTCTGACAGTGCAATATCTTTAGTTATGAAATTTTGTACAAACTCTACTTTAACTCTTCAAAAGAATTACGAACCTATAATTTAATATATTGAAAATTACTTTAAGCAATGGCAACACCGAAAACGTTTTACACTCCTTGGTAATGTTAATAGTATCAAATCCTTTGCTTTAGCAAAACTGATCTATGCTCTCATCTGTGTTACCTCTACCTTGCTATTCATGAAACTCTGATGCAGATTACATTGAATATCTGACTTTTATATAAATAAACATACTGACGTCATTACTTGTATCAGTCTAGACAATGTCATTATAAACACACCAATTAAAAACATTTAGCGCCTTTCCTTAAAACCAAATGAGGCAATTAAATTTTTATATGCAAATCAATTTAAAATGATAACACATTCAAAACGCATGCTAGAAATTAGTTGGAAAATATCTTAGGAAACGAAAATATATGTTGGAACTAAACATACAAACATATTCTAACAACAACGATATACACTAAGTTCAGAAATTTTCAATATTAATATTTACATACATAATTGCTACAAACAAAATTCTTCTAAGACTAAACCTTTTTTCCTCGAGTCTTTGTGATTTTTGTGCAGTGGACATTAAATCTGTTGAACACCTCTTATGGCAATGTTCATACACGCAGCTTTTTTGGACATATTTAATAGAATATTTAAAAGAAAGAAATAGTATAGAAATTTACTAAAAAGAATATATCTCTTAATTTCAAAGGCACATACATGCAGATGCAAGAAAAAGTTATTCTTTTTGTTGCAAAATATTACATATATAGTGTAGAAAAAGGAATACACACACACCTCAATTTAACTTATCTTTTTAAATTATATTCGGACAGATTATTTATGAAAAATAATATCTTGCATTTAATCTCGATAAACTGGTTATTCATTTGAAAATATTAATTAGAAATAGATACGAATACTTATATATGAAACTATGTTACTTACATGAATGAAAACAATTAAGTTAACAAATGGTCAAAAACTGTACATGTGTCTTCTGCATTGGTGTTCCTTTGTATTTTCACTTTCTTTACTTTTCCTTTCTGCTTTTTATATGCCCGAAACAATTTCGGGCATATTATGTTATACCCTCTGGCGTCCGTCTGTCCGGGCAAACATCCAATAGACCCTTCTTAATATTACCTCATACATATTCATAGATTTCTCAAAACGAAGCTAACAGGGCAAGCTCTAGTATCTGCTCTATGTAAACATATTACGAATATATGGCCGAAAGATTTAGAGATCTTAATATAGTACTGACAGTACTATATAATTGTTGAGAGTTATATTTAACATTACAAAAATCTATACTGGAGATAAATAAATCAACAACAAGGTTTATTTTACGCTATATACAGTGAATGATATACATGTTTTCAAGACATGAAAAGTGAATAAATGTTTATGATAATTCCAAGTAATTTCTAATATTCTATGTCACGTATAAATATCAGGTTAACTCGTTGCAACTTATACAGACATTATCTGTGTTATCAGTATTTCATTGCTTACCTTAACACATGTTGGTCAAGAATGTATAAAGCAATTAACTGATAATAGATGTAACCAGTTGGATGCTGAATTCTGTACCATACTTCCCCTAAATTTAGCCATTGAAATAAAAAACATTTTTTATTAAACTTTTTATTTTGAAACCCAAAAATTTTATGGGGGGGATGTTCAAAAGAAACGGGGTTTAACCTTTAAACGCCCACCCTTTACCAAAATCCAAAAAAACAATTTTGTTTAGACAAAAAGCCCACCCCCCGCCCGTTTTACATTTAAATCGTTTTTTCATATTTTTTTAAAACAAAATAGTGTTGTTTACAGCAAGGGAAAAAAACACAATATCAGGGCTAAGAAAACGAATGAAAAAACCCTTAAAATTTTTTTTAAAAAAAAACTGTTTTTTTTAATTTTAAAAAATTTTTATTAAATATTTTAGAATATTTAACAAATTTTACAAATCATTTAATTGAAAAACATTTAAAAATTTTTAATGCAAAAGGTAAAAAATGGTGATGCGTTCATTAGGCATTATTGCACTTGTCCAGTTGGTCCCGATTAGATAATGGGTCATACCCCATTGTTGGAAAAGCCTGTACTAACCTGAATTAACAAAATCATTGGGGGTTACCACGGCAACTTCCAGAAGGTGTTGACGGACTAACCAAAACCCCAGACATTTCTTTACTGTATGGGACTGAAATTTGCAGAAAACATGTGCACGGAAACCATTGCACGGTCGAGGGGGGTATTAGGAAAGACATCAATCTAGCTCAGGCACTTTTTTACATTCCAAGATATATTCAACTATCAGTATATAATGCAATAAGAAGGACAAAATATTAAATGTTATTCACCAAAGTTAACATATTCCCCTGCAGCTTCTACCATATATGTAACCAAAGCACAATGTTGAAAAAAACAAAGTAATGTTAAAAACAAAGTAATAATGCGGATTGATTTCTTTTTTAATTATTTTATTTGAATTTAAGACAGCAAACAATTTAAACAAATGGTCCTTTAAAATATAAAGTAAAAATACATTTTTGTCAGCTTGCAACATCTATCTATTTCTATCAGTCAAGCTGTTTCGTTTTGCTTGCTTCATAATAAAAGCTCTTAATGTTTTTTGCTTGATGTTTTAAACATTGAAAACTGTAATAAATATACATATATTGAAAAATCCTGTATAAAACAGATATTGAACTGTTATCATTTAAAAGTTTTTTTGTAACTAAAAGTTCAATATCACTGTTTATTTTCTTCCTCAGTTTTTCTGTAATTCTTCTTTGAACCTGTTTGATAGTTTTTCTTATCATCTGTTCTGCAAAATGCCATGAAGAAAGATATTAACAATTAAAGGCGATTCAAATAGTTGTCAATTTGTGTTCATTACTGTTACCAATAGGAAATTCTGAAAAATATATATACATTTATTATGAAGTGGAAGTGGTAACAAGAACTATGACATTTCTAGAAATATATCAATTTATATTTTAATTGCACTTATAATGTTTTTTTTACTGTAGCTGAACTTTATTTATGTGTAAAAATGAAAATTAAGTCTTGTGATGTACCTTTCATCTGGCAAAATATTCTTCAGTGTTCGTCTTACTGGTCTGTTCATTATTACGCTTAGCCTAGTTGAACCAAGAGAGTACATCTATTTTCTTCAGACATATATGAATTTGTGTCATCTTTATTGTGTGAAAATGCTTCAAAACGAGCAATATTGTCTTGTTATATATTGATCTGAAATTGGTATACAAAATAACTGTTATTGATTTTTAGTATAAAAACGGTATTGATTTAGATTAATCATAAGTGTGATATTAAAATGAAATTTATGAACAAAAAATTTTATTAAATGTTAATAATTAAATGAAACATTTAAAAAAAACAATGAGAAATCAGATTTATTAATGTAAGTAGTAATACATCTAAACACTCATTAAAATCATATCCTACTGTCGCTTCACTACCCTACGCTCGTCGTAGCGAAGAGTAACGGAGCAAAAACGATGATCTGATTTTAATGAGATTGTACATCTAAAGTAGCTTAGTTTAAAAAAGAAAAGAACAATGGAATTTTACCTCGAAATGTTCTCATTCATTCCATTTTATTAACTCACATCCTTACGTATCTTGTGAAAATTAACCGTATAATCATATAAAGAATTAGAATAACAGAGTGGAACACAACAAAAAATGATATTTTCCCCCGGTAAGTTTAACACACATTTGGGGCCTTTTCAGGTCAGACTTAATTGTTTAAACATTAATCCCCCTTTTAGCCTCCTCTGGTGAGGGAAATTTAAAGATGCATAAAAATTTGAAAAAAGGCCCCTATGCCTAGAGCTTCTTTTTAATTTATGTTAAAAAAAAGACAAAATCCCATAAACTGATTTGGGTTTATGGGGGTTAATTTTCGGGTTTTAAATGGAGAAATACCCCCAATAAAGATCAGAAAAAAGGAAACATAAACCCCCCCCTTTCCCGTTAGCTTTTTTGGGTTTCCGGAGAAAACTTATGTTCCTTTTGGCCCAAAATTTTCCAAAATTCTAGGATGATTTCCTTTATTGGGAAAAGACGCCTATTGTTTTTGGGGGCCCAAAAGGGGTAAAGGTAAAGGTTTAAGTTAACTTAAATCTAAAAAAAATTTTCCTGAGCATAACTGAAGTTCCATTTGGGCCAATATATTCATTCGTCGTAGCATTTTACTTTACAAGATAACAACTTCATAGTTGTGGTGCTTAGAAACTGCAACTGTATATATATGAAGGTTCTTCAACTTAAAAGGAGGATCGCATTTTGAAGGAGGCAATACTTTATTTGATTCCCTATCCTATATCTTACAAATGCTTCATCCTTACTAAAAATCACTTTCGGGCATATAAAGCTCCGCCTTGCGGTGCTCTTGTAAATAATAGGTAACTCTAAAACGAATACCGTATTACTGAAGGTAACCGAAATGAATGAGTGCTGTTTTGTGTGTGCGTTATGTTCGAAATATGTACAGTTATAAATCTTGTTGATCTTTATGAATTTGCAGTGTGTGCGTGCGTGTGTGCATGTGCGTTTGTTTGTGGAAACAACTCTTTGTGACCATTTTTTTGTATTACTTGCAGTAAAGTTGTCTTAATTATCCTAATGAAGGTTATTATCGACCGAAACCTGTCGATTAATAATATCTCAAACCTACTCTGGTGTTTCAGACGTTTTTTTACTACATCCTTTCCTTTTTGATACTTAGTTTAATACATGTTAGTACATTTGAGCCGCGTCATTACAAAACCAACATAATGGGTTTGCGACCAGCATGGATCCAGACCAGCCTGCGCATCCGCGCAGTCTGATCAGGATCTATGCTGTTTGCTATTAGTTTCTCTACTTGTAATAGAGTTGGTAAGCGAACAGCATGGATCCTGATCAGACTGCGCGGATGCGCAGGCTGGTCGCAAACCCATTATGTTTGTTTTGTCGTGACGCGGCTCATTTTATTACTGTATGATCACAGAGAACAAAAATAAATTATTTGAACACTAAAATAAAAAAACAAAAACAACTAAATATGATATATACATTTTATAAATACTGTACTGAATTACAAAATTATTAAATGTTATAAAATTTGACAGTTTTAGTAAAAGATAAAAGCTGTTTAAAAGTCATTAAACTAAATATTTTATCCGCAAACAGCTTAATTCCCAAACACTGACTGTATACCGATAAACTGTCAAGTTTTCTCACTTATAAAAAGGGAAAAATGGGAACCCAAAAAGCAATTTGAAATAAGTTTTACTGATTGACCTAAAAAAAAAAATTCCCGAAAATAAAACCTGAAAAAATCGGGGGTTCCCAAAAAATTTAAAATAAACCCAAACGGAAGGGACTTTTTTTTCGAATTCCTTAAAAAAGGCGAAAACTTAAAAGGGAAGGGTGGCAAAAAATGTAAGGGAAATTTTGTTTGGGAAAGGCCTTCCCCCAAAAAAAAAACCTTTTCCCCATAACCCTCATTTTACAATAATCTTCAGGGGGTTCCGTGGCCAAATGGTTAATTTCGTTAAACTTAAAACCACTTCCCCCCAAATCTCTGTGGGGTTCAAAAATCCCGACAGGGACTTCGGATTCTTTCATGTGAGGAAGCTATCCAGCTAGCTTACGGAACGTCGGTGGTTCTACTCAGGTGCCCGTTCGTGTCTGAAATAATGCACGGAAGGGCACCCGAGGTCTTCCTCCACCAGTAAAGCTGGAACGTCGCGATATGACCTATACTGTGTCGATGTGACGTAAACCCCAAAACAAACAAACAAACAATCATCTTCATAATGAGCAAGACATAATTATTTTGCAACATTATTATAAGAAGGTTGCATGTTGAAAAAATTACAATGCAAATTTAAAACATGGTTTAAATTCCAACACATTATTAGGATAAAACCTAAATGTTTTGTTAAGTTAAGAAGTTATACATGTATATATACTAAACTATTTTCAGTAAGGTATTTATCATGAAATATTATAGGTACCAAGCGATGTTGAAACAATAACGGTTCTAGTTAACGGATCAGGTTTAGCGGTAATCGATGTAAGTTATTTTTTATTATAATGATACATTTACATGATATTTTTTAAATGTTGAAATAAGTATATCGACTCAATTATAAATCAGAAAATTATTTACATGTTAGACATGATGTAATGTTGAAAGAAGTATCTTTGTCTGCAGACATTTCTACGATGCGGACCGTTACCTGATAATTTTCCCGCGCATGTGCAATTTGTGTAGGGCAAAAGATCCTACATATTAATGTAGTAAAATTCATAAACAGTTCCGCAAAAGTTGACGGTGAAAACTTTTACGATAGACAAAAATTGTCTTTATAGCTTTGGGTCCATTGTTGCCATAAATTAAGCAGAAAAAGAAGATTTCGTGTATGTCACCATGTCGGACTTGAACATTACTGAGTATATTATTGTGAAAATATGGAAGTGTATTAAAGAAAGAAAAACGGTCTTCTTTATTCATAGTTTATTTAAAAAAAACTAAAGAGATTTATATAATAGCATAGTAACTCGAGGTAAATCATTATTCTGAAAAGGTAATGGACATGAGATAATGAATGGCTATGAAAATGGTTTTAGTTTTCAGTTTTCCAGATTTTATCCTTGATCTGATTTGCCTGCGATGCCATAACCATATATATTTAAAAATAACATAAATATGTTGATATGTGATATTAAAATCTTGACATTTTTACCTAGTTAATCGTAACAAATCTTCAAAATCTATGTTAATGTAATTGTATGCTGCACAAAATTAATTCCAAACACAGAAAAGATTGAAATATGTTAAAGAAATAATTTAAATAATCTTCATCAAAATTTATGTGAATATCTTTTCCATGGTACTTAAACGTCGCGTTTGATTAATATTGAAAACTGGCTGAAACAAACCGACACGTGTCTATCTCTTTAGGACTTACCGCTATTAAAGGACAATACAAATTGTGTTATACATGTATTATGCAATGGACGAATGATGGACGAGTGATATGAGTTTATCTTGAATACCATGCTGTTTTAATGTAAATTACTGATGTATAAGCCGTATGATGATACTTTAAGCAGATAGATAATGCATGTACTTCTGGAACATTGAATTGTTAGTCATGCATATTTTATTACATTTTATATGGTTACACCTTTTATTACTTAAATTCACTTTGCATCGTTATTTATCAAAATAAACTATTCGGAACTCGTGCTTAATCATTTAGTCTAGGTCAAGTCGTTAATGAAGTAGTTGAATACTGATAAAATGTTTCTTTCGTTACTGCTTTTTGCCTTATACGGAATGCGCATGCGCGAAATACAACTTCCGTGTCTTAGAAAATATCGTATTGTAAAACACGTCTGTATTAATTTTGCATGTTAATTCTTTTCAGCTTAGTCAATAATTGTTTTCTCTAAAGGTAGCATTAACACACCGAAAAGGTATAACTGTTTGAAAAATCTGCTAGTAAATATGTTTTCTTAAGTTCAAATTACACCTTCAAATTTTATTAAAAAAAATCGACTGTTTTTTGGATTGGAGAATAAGGAGAGGTTTGAACTTGCATTTGATGAAAACGACAGATTTCATTTTGATTGAACCTTTTGCACCCACTCAATTCTCACCATTCTCCTTTCATTAAACAGTTGTTTAAGTTTTTAATCAATATGACTTTGCAAGAATTTTCGTTAATCCAGCCAAAATATATGAACATTATATATCTATTTATGTCACCTACTTTGTACAGGTATCTACTTCCTATTATGTTACTGGAAATGAAATTGATGATAAGATCGGAGTTAACGTGACAGTTACAACAGAGCTTATAAATACTGTTTCGATTAAATCGTGCTTAAGGTAAACATCACTCCCATTGGCAAAATAATATTATAAAAACAGTTTTCCGAGATAATTCTTGAATGAACCTTCAAGGATCAGACTATAAAACTCACATATATTTTCATAGAAAAGTTCAGCTGATCTTTTACATTTAACATGAATTTATTGTTATACATCTTTAAACATTTTTTTATTGAAAGTGATTAAGATAAGAAGTTTAAAAATGATTGATTTTAATTACTGATATGTTCTGTTGTATGTTGAACATTTAACACCTTATAATTTTGTTTTCATGCAAGATGGAATGGAAGATTGGATAGTGGCATGTTACTTATGGAGGTCGAAATGCCAACTGGCTTTCAGTCTAATGCCACTGTACTGAACCGTCAGAGTATAATAATGAAACACGAAACAAATGGCAGAATAATCGCTCTATATTTCAATGGTGTAGGTATCAAGAGATCATATAAAAACATTTAACATTTTAATAGCAAAATATGTTTTGCATTTATATGCCATTCAGGGAACGTTTTTGCTAAGATCCTGTACTTCTATTAAATACACGTTTATTTTATGGTTCACTCTTGTAAATTTTGACCATTGAAACAAGTTAAGCGGTAGATAGACTTAGATTTCATGCTATTTATTTCAAATGAAGGTTAAACCTAGTACAAGCATTTGTGTTGATGTGAAAATGGACCGTGTTGACCCTGTTGTTAAAAGTCAAGCATGTCACGTGAAAGCATACGACTACTATGACCCAGGTAAAATAGAATGTCAATTGAAGTGAGCCATCAGCAAAAGACATTTACGCATTTTTTTTCACATTTATTGAAAGGAACAATTTATTGGTACAATAAAGAAGATAAGAAGATACTAGCAAATTACATTTTAAACTAATGAAAACATTAAAGGTTTTTACAACGATTAAATGCATGAAAGAAAATGCTCTGTTCATTTCTCAGTGATGCTTACACTTATGTAGAAACTAGATAATTAGTGTTATCTTTGCTGTTGTAGGATCTTAAAGTCCACACACTTATACATGTATTAGTGTTATACATCATTTTCATTTGCTGTTTGAAACTTGAAACATCAATTCTTTTCTCCAATTTGGATTTTTTCCAGTTCACCAAGCAATAACTAGATATGAGTTTGGACTGCTGAAGAGCTCAAACATTTGTAACATTTGTCCTATGTGTGGATTCTGTACCAGTGCTGACAATTGAGGAACGGTAAATAATATAATTTCTAATAACGATGAATATGTATAATGATCAGATTCTGCCATAAACTGAATCGTATTCACTTATACTGATAAGAAAGGTAGAATATTGTCAAATTGCAATTAATACAGAATGCTGAAAATAAATATGATGACTATTTTAAACCCTTTCTCATTTTGTTTTCTATAATATCTTGTTTCAATATCAGCTGGTTTGGTGTTTTTTTTTTTAGATAACTATGTTTGTAATTTTGTAAGAGTAAGATTAATTTTAGAGAATAAATCACAAATGCTTAAGTATATATACATACTTTCAGAATGGAGTTTTAACATATATTTTCAGATACGCTAACAATACCACCTTCTGGATACCGTATACATATTTAAGTGTACACCGGACTTTAATAAGATAGAACAATAAATACGTTTAAACTTTATATGTGAAAGTTTGAATTCTTAATTGGAATAAATTATAATAAAGCATGCATAAACAATGTCACGGTAACAACCAATCAGTAAATATATATTCACATAAAATATAAAAGTTAGTCATTTCTATACCCTGCAGTATTTTAGTTGTGTAATATGTATGCAGTTTGTTTTAATAACACATATTCGGCAGTTTTGATCGAGACAGATGATGGTCAAATTAGTTAAGTAATAAAACTGCTTCCGAAACTGGAAAAAATACAGAAATTGAATATTTAATTTCGAAATGGTACTTCGGACTTCAAACAAAACAATTCTAATTTTGTTATTAGACTACTTTGTTGTCAGTTAAATATTTCTTGTATGAATTATCTTCCGTCTCGAACTTATAGCTTACATAAACATTGGCTGCTAGCTCATTTGGGGATAAGTTACCTTCCATGGTTGCTTCGTCGGTATCAATTCATTCGTCTCCGCAGCTATGTTGATATTTGAATTAATCATTTTAACAGAGCTGACACCACCTTTAGTTCAGTTACCTTGCTAAATCTGCATTCAATCATTATTTGAACTAAACCAAACTTGATTTATCACAGATAAGTGATGGCTCCTATCGTACAAATGACTTGATCGTATTATGTGTTCAGTGTTGTTGCGCTTTTTATGTCATGATACGTCCACTTATGTATATTTTGTGTAGTCAGCTGCTTAGCTGCCTTAAGAAGTTTGAAGTTTGATTTTGTATTACCAGTAGACTTTACTATGTTAAAATGACGTGATACAATTATACTTTAAAAACCTTTCAAGGCAAAATGTGCATACTTTGACGTTTTATCAATACCTGGAAAAGGTCCTGCTTTTAATGCTTCCGAGGGATCACATTTTTTTCCAGATTTCTCTGCTTTAACCTAGCTTTTAATGTTTTAAGTTTGCCCATGTGATCTTTCGTTAGAATATCTGTTATTGTTCTACTCTATTGTCAAACTATTGCTACAAAATTTACATTGTAGTTCTAATAGTGAAATATACAGTGGATAATGAATGACTTTGAACTTGAACCAGTGGTCTACCTCTGATTGTTTAATTTATGGATCTCAAATAAGGCTAGGGGGCGTGGACGGTAACTTGCACTTTCCAGTACCGTCCATGAACAGGCTCAATCAAACCGAGCCTGCAACATTTTCAATTTTGCCGTGTTGGGCTTTCTTTAGGGATTCTGTATTTATCTATTCTAACCACTTCATGAAAACCATTGTGACCTACCTTTTTCCCGCACAATATGCATTGCGCTGTGTAGGCCGCGTACTGTCAGATTTTATCAATATTTTATAACAAAAACGATCGTGAAGGCCGTTCCGGTACTTTGGGCGCGTCCTGTACGCCACATTGACATACGTTATAAGATCGGTCAGTCAAGATATGGACTTACTTTCAGGATTAACTTATACATCATTTTGTTCGGTTGAATTGATAATGAAGACTCCAATAAATTATTAAAAAACAATTTCACCACAACATCTTTATAAACAAAAGAGCAATTATCCATGTTTGTGGTTAAATTTATTGTTAGTAAAATAAAAGGTCAGAGTAGGAACTTTAAATTTGTGGTGATCCCGAGAAATGTTTTGTTCGGTATTGCGCTGTGTAGGCCGCGTACTGTAATAACTTATGCAAAATATGAATAATTCTTTAAAAAGAACATTATGTACTGCGGCGGACAAAGTAAATTATTGTCTGTCTGTGATCCTTGAATTTATGCAATTCTCATGGTGCACCGACATGCCTGTTAGTCACACTAAAGACCGCCCTTTAATTTATACTATGCTCAAATGATATTAGAAAATACTATTAATTGCTACACATGTTCTTTGTAAATATAAAATCTTCACACAAAGTAAATATGTTATGTTTAAAATTCTGCAAACTATAGGTGGTCACAATATGAACATATAGCGTCATTAAAAACAGACAAGTTTTTTTAATCAAATTACTTCAGGGTGTAACATCCAAAATAAAATGACATTATGTATAATAATAGCATAATTGATAACATAAATGTTTATTCATTTGCAAGTCTGTAGCATAAAAATTGATGCTTCATATCAATAGAAAGATTTCTTATGCCAATATGTTTTTATACATTATATAAAATGATTTCAATTGGACATTATAACTAAAATATCGTTCAACTATGATTCGTCAGGGAGAGTTTGTTACACTATTTTAGAATGAGCATTAACAAATCTATTTTAAAGATTGTTTCAATTGGCCTAAAATATTTAAAATAATAACTTATGCAAAATATGAATAATTATTTAAAAAGAACATTATCCCGGTTGTTAAATGATAAACACGTAACATTCCTGTACGTTAACACACACGGAAGAAATGCAGACTGAACATGAGAAAAAAGACAGCAAATATGCGATGAGAATAGTGATACGTTTTATGATGTCATTCATCGTTATAGTAGTAGGTGAATAATCTTGATTATCTCCATTGATACGAAAGCAAAACTGTCACACACAACACTGTAAATTAGTAAACAAGGAAAGTATTATGATAAGATATAAAAGATTAGCAAGAACGAGAAACTGTCACGAATTGCAATCACACAATGTCAACGTTTTAAGCAGATATTTTAAAACTTAAATCCATGTCCATTATATTGAAACTCCTCCTTTTTACGCCCATTTACATACATTTTCTATTCTTTAATTTGATTAGTTTGTTAAATATCAGCTTGTGACAAAAAATAAAAATAAAGATAGAAGGTTTGGTTATAAGTTAAATATTTAGTTAATACTTTGACACAAGTATAACCAACGTCATTATTTAACTGTGAAGCATCGGTCTACTGAAAGATTTAGAAACTGGATATGAAAGGTGAGCTAATTATTTCTTAGTTTTTTTTATTTTCTTAATGTTTTTAATAGAATACATTATCTTATTTGAAATATTGAAACAGTTAGTTTTATTTATGGCTTAATTTATTTTGGTAACAGATGCATTTCATGATTATGCATAATACTTTCACATGCAATAACAGACATTGATTACTTCAGAAAATAAGTATATTTTGTTTTGTTTTATCACATTGATATCACATAGTGATATAGCGATTGATATCACATAGTGATATAGCGTTAAATAACAACTTATACTTAGTTAGGGATATGCATTATGCAGACACTAAAACATATTGTACTTTTTACTTTATGTACAATATCGGAACGTTAACTTAAAGATACATTTTGTTTATTTGATGAAACGATTAAACTATTTAATATTTTTTCTGTGTTCTGATCGTGAACTTTATTGAAACGGACAATTACAAAAGTATAAATTATTTTCAATATCACGTTAATTTATCACATTTTTTTTAATGCAGAAAATATACACATTTTTGTAAGTATGTGTATATTTTGAACTTTTTAAAATAATGCTACCTTCCAATGAAAAAGTATAATTATTATAATTTGTTTATAAGTTACATGCCTCATTACATAACTCTCTGGCATAATTATGAAGAAGTAAACTTAATAAACCTTAAAAGGACACTGCATAATTTGTTTATCATAAACGTTTTAATAGCATAACTATTTAGCACAGTAGAACCTAATAAATTATTCAATATGTTTAAAGCATACGGTCTTTTCTTTGAGACAGTTGATAATATAATAACGTTTTTAAAATGCTATCGGTATTTACCACCTTTTTATAGACAATTCAGTATGTTCCGGTATAATTTGTAAGTTGTGTTTGCATATCATTCATTATATTCAATGCATTAGTCGAGAAAATTATACTTATTTGGTGTTATCTTTTGATCGCATACTTTACTTAGTGTGAAACCATTTGTAATATTTTAGATTATTGGAACAAAGAACCATCAAGATGTTAATACAATTATCTGTTGTTCTATGCTGTCTCTCGGCCGCCTCTGGGTAAGTGTTCCAAGTATTAGGTATCATATAAAGTACAACATGCCCTTAAATAAAAGATTTCATTTATTGCAATCGTCAACAGTACATTTCGATAAATCGTCCCTAACCGTTACACTGCTTAATGTAATACATACTATACACCGACAAACAATTACATATAGGTGAACCTCACATAATAGAAAATGATAAAGAATTACAAAGCGCCGAAAGATCGCAAGAAAAATCTAATATTTCTATGGCATATAGACTTCACGGCGTTTTCACTGCGATCATGGCGTTGCAACGGAGCTTCTATGACGTTTTAATGAGATCTAAAGGCGTTTTAATTGCAATTGCCTGCGTTGGACTGCAGTTCTACAGTATTCTTTGCGCTTATACGGCGCTCACACGTCGCTCTCGTGGCGCTAACACAGCGCTAAGATATTAAAGCTTCGTAATAACGCTGTACATACGCAATGTAAGCGCAATAGAGTCGCCCAAAATAACCGTCTAATCGGCATGGCTGAAGGCCCTGTCACACTAGACTGCGCTTTTACTGCGTTTGCAAGGCGTTGTTAAATTTAACAAAGCGCCGCGAGATCGCAAGAAAAATCTGATATTTTTGTTGACATGGAGACGTCACGGCGTCTTAATGGCGTCTGCACGGCAATCATGACGTTGTTATGGAGCTTTTACTGCGTTGAAATGCGTTCTTATGGCGTTTAAATTGGCGATTGTCTTTATTCGGACTGTGATTCTACTGCGTTCTATGCGCTTCCACTGCGCTCTCACGGCGCTCACAGGGCGCTCTCGCTGAACTTATACTGCGCTGAAATCTTGCTTCATATATAAGCGATTACTCATTCTGAATAGTCGTGGTACCTGCTGCACCTGTATGCAAGCAAACAGCATTCCAGCTTACTTCCGTTCATCATCCATTGTTTAAAGGACATTTACTTTCAAACACGTTATATACATACAGTGAAAACCTTTATGACCACCAAAGAGACTGGCCTTAAGTGGTATTTATTGCAGTTGGTCTTAATTATGGATATAATTATTAAAGCATATATATTTCATGACCATTCTTTATGAATTTATTATGTATAAACATGTTTAAACAATTATATAAACCTTCAAATATTATTATAAACTAATGTTATAATATTTAATCCTAATTAGAACATAAGAGATATTTAATAAATAGATTAAAATTTCATAGGTCTTCTTTCATGTACATAATTCACGTTTTGATTTAAATTAGTTATTAATTCTTCACAAAATGCATGTGCACAAAATAACATTAAACCAATCTAAAGTTTATTTTCTCAAATTTATACTATTTTCCTATCATAACAGTTTTAACACATTGTTTCATAAAGTGTCATGTTTTAAAAAATTCAAGGAGATGAATAACAACAAACCTTATAACTGATAAGGTATAGACTGGAATATCAGTGGTATCAAAGGTGGGGTTAGATAGATAAAACAATGAATTGGGTCTGAAAGTAGAGGTCTTAAAAATTGATCAATGGGATGTTCTTAATTGTGAGGCAAGTTACCATTATCATGAAGAACAGAAAATTCCACTCTTTTACATAATTGGTGTTAATAGAGTGTTGGTCTTAATTCCGGTGTGGTCTTAAGTAGGCATTCTACTTTTTCTGATTCTGAGTTGCTACGGCGTCCTTACTGCGATCCAACAGCGCTCTTATCAGAACGCCGAGTGACGGCGTTTGTTTTGAGCATGCTCAAAACGCGCGACGTCGGCAGTCGTTCTATGCGATGCCACTGCTATGCTGCGACGATGTTTGCAATCTTACTGCGCTCATCATGGCGTTCATTCAGCGATCCTTTTTTTGCGCATTCATGACACTCCTGTTGCGTTGTAGAAGATAATACAGAGCTGCTACGGTGTCCATACTGCGACTCAACTGCGCTTTTACCAGAACGCCGAGTGAGAGCGTTTGCTTTGAGCATACTCAAAATGCGCGGCGTCAATTGACGTTCTATGCGAAGCCACCGCAATGTTACGTCGATTCTTGCGATCTTACTGCGCTCACATCGGCGTTCTGAATTTTCTTTGGATGCCGTGAGAACGCCTCCCTAGTGTAAAAGGGGTTTAACTGACGGCTTACAAAAGAGCAGAGAGATCATAATTTATTTCATTTGCTTTTCTCTTTCAGGACATATGTGGCATATTTTCCAAATTCACTGATCCCTGGTATCCCATTGCAAGTTCGAGTTCTAGTTCAAAACTGTGGGGGTCCAGTTTCAATTTGCGCCGGTTTGAAATTTGCCGAAAACGGCTCAGTTGTTGCAGAAAATACAATCTCCGTAAGCAGCGGTAAGTCCATTAAATTTAAAAGAACATTGTATTAACACCTTTGAAAGATATTATCATTGATATACAATGGTATGTTTGTATAAAAGTGAATAGCTGTAATTTTCCATTAGTATTTTAAATATTGATATAAATACTAGAAATGTTTTATGTGAATATTCTTTAAAAATAATGCATAAATGTAGAAAAAGTTCTTCAGTGATTCAGAATAACATTTATATAACGAATTTTAATATGTTCTTATAGAAATCCTTATTTCCCCCACCCCAAGACCCCCACCACCCAAAAAAAAAAAAGAAAAAAAAAAAACAGAAAAAAGAAAATGAAGGTTATATCGGATCATGTATCCAACAACTCCTATGTTTAATTCTTGTATGGTCTGTTGCTATGTCTATTACTTAAACTACCAAATTACATTTATATATAGTTATCAGGTATCAGGTAATGATATAAACTTATAATTGATATAATACTCAAATAAACAGTATTCTGTAAATTTATCCACTTTAAAGGGAATAGATCTAGAAAACTTTTAAATTCTTTCTTTTAAGTGTAAGACTCAATCAAACCGAGTCTGCAATTTTCATGTAATTTTGTTGTGATTAATGTTTCAGAGGCCAGATGTTTAGTATGTAGAGAACTCTAACATCCTAGTTATAACTTATTTGTACTTGTATCATAGGTTATCGTTAAGACCATCACTAGTTTTAGCGCAAACATATTTAGCAAGTAACCAGAGGCGGACAAAAAATTCAAAAACAATGCGCTATTGTCTTCCTTATATCTGATAATTTAGTACAAGTTCACTAATCACCTCCGATCTTTGCTATGATTAATCATGACAATGTACCGAGACACGAATGAAGATTATGTCCTTTTTCAATTTAAATAGAGACACTTAGTAATTGGTCGTCAATTTATTCTTCTTTACACTTGATTTGTACTTACTGTACTTCCTCTTTGTTGTGCGTGTGATTACTTAAGTGAGACATGATCTATAATCTGTCATCACTCAATTACAGCTAAACATATAGTGAGAAATACTTCATAACGTGTGTTTTTTTAAAAAAAAAAACATTGAAAATTAAATAAAACATTACCTCATGGTCCTTCATTTTCTACACTCTTCACTAGTAAAAATGTTATAAGTATAATATTATAAAGTTAATAGATTTTCGTACATATTAGCAGATGTTTCTTGGCGCTCATAAAGAATAATTCTTGAAATGGCATTATTTGAAAATGATGTCAGCATAGGATTATTTCTTTACAAAAAATGGATAAGATTCTGATACTATTGTTTACTGTATGAATTTTCTGTTTTTCCAGGAATGTATTCGACCATACCTATTAACGTAAGATTAAATCTTTTATTCATTTATTAGATAAGAAATTGACCCTAAGAAATACTTCAATTATAATGTTATCGAAGGCTAATTGATAGTTTCCAAAAGTTTTATTATTATTACGTATTACTAAACGGACAAAATATGATTCTTCACATGTCACGAAAGTTCTATAAAGTTGTGATTAAAATAATATAGCTTCCGGCAATATAAGAATTCACTTGCATTACATTTAAGACATTTCGGTTTTGCGATATTACTAGTTATTTATGCTTTCAATACATACACGTTAGCATTGTGTTGTTTGATTACGTTTTACTCAGGTTCCAAGTACATTACGTCCGTCGAATTATAGAACATTTGTAACGGGATCTGGTGCATTGGTCTTCACTAATAGTTCAAGTATTCACTATAATAACAAGAGCTTGATGGTATTTATACAGACAGATAAAGTTCGTTATTCGGCAGGTCAGACAGGTAAGAATAGAATATATCTAGATTTGAAATGTATTGACGTAAATCGATACTGCTCTCTATGCTTTTACACTTTCTTCCTTTACATTTATAAAAAGGCATCTTAAAACAGAAACTAGCTATAGATTTAGAGAATGGAAATTAAGATGTGTCCGATATTAAAAACTAGGTTGCCAAGTAACGTACATTATTGAAGTGGAACATTTACTTACGTGTCTCTGATGACAATAAGACATTAAAACTTTAGCTGTAAATAATTTCAGTGAGATATCGGGCAGTGTTTCTTCTTCCTAATCTTATGGGCTTCCAGGGAGAAGCGACCGTCATAATTCAGGTAAAAATATCATATTTGACCATTGAGTTACACGAAATGACGAATATATCATTCAAAGTGCTATATAATATATTATAAACATGTCCGACTCTTTCTAGAGTTTCAGAAAGCCTTCTGTAAAAAATGGCGTATCGTTTTAGTATTTCAATAGTTGTTGGTTATGCTTTTATTGATGAATCTAAATATATTAAAATTAATATTGTCAGAACAATTCGTTTTATGCTATTGACTCCACAATACAGAAGAATATACAATTAGTAATCAGTATAAATAACAAGTGCAGCATATGTACCATGATAGGAAAATTACATAATGAACATTGTTTCGCTACGAATACATGTTTAGTAACTTAAGTATATACACTTTTATTATTGGAAATGAAAGTCATTGAATGCCAATCAAGCTTTATATATAAAAATGACTAAATTATAAAGGATGGACAGGAAAATAAGATCGAGACAAGAGGACCACATTTGGTTAAAAATGGGGTTATATCTGGTGAAATAGAGCTCAGCAAATACCCCGTGTTTGGGAATTGGACAATAGGCATTGATGTCATGGTAAGTTGTAGATAATATCTATGATGTATAATCTGTTTATATTTACATAAATTTATTAATTGATTTACATGTCAGTTATTACACATATAATGTGAAAAATTTTGCCTAAAAGCAAAGAGTACACATTTCTATCATAAGTATCAAGTTATCATTAAAACATCAAAATAAAGTAGTGCGTCTTACGAAATTAACACTTATTACATGTACATGAAAGTCAGATATTTCCATAAATGTTTCAAGATTATTGTTTTGTATGTATAGAGGGAGAAAACATAGGTTTCAATATTTAAGTATACTCAATCACAATAAAAATGGATTAATATTGTAGGGGAAAACGCATACAAAATATTTCGAAGTCAATGATTATGGTATGTGCTACTTTATATTTTTTCATATTATCTTGAGCGAGTGAGAGATAGACAGAGTGTTGTCTTATATTGAATTATGTCAGCAGACAATAATTATTATTATTGCTTGTTGTCTTTCTGGTTTAAATTTCATTAGATCAATGCATTACTTGATATATATATATAAGCTAAGAAGAATATGATAGTTTATGATAATTAAAGGAATCGATTAAAACTTTCAAGGCAAAAACATAACTTTCAAAGAACATCAACAATAACGTATGGAAAGTTTCACAAAATGTATAAAACAATCTAATATAACAAAATGTTTAACATTAAGAGCTATATATCAATATTTATCGGTTATCAACTTAAAATTAAAAAAACGAAGTATTGCAGGAGATTATGACAGAATACTGTTCAATGTTCCTTAAAGAAATGATTATGATTCAAATTTATTTGTTAATAGAAACATTTAATAAATATGAAAATCATAGAAAACAATACCAAAATGTTTTTTTTTTGGACGCTCTTTCTTTTTTGATATTTATTGTCTATATTTTTGAAGTTATATCATTTTGATTTTATTTACAGTCTTGCCAAGATTTACCGTTTCGTTGAAGATACCTGCTACAATAAATGCTTCACAAGCGTCTTTTACAATAGGTGTAAAGGCAAGGTATGCTTCATTTATATTTGTAATGTGTGACATGATTATATGCTAACAAAAAACAACAACAACAAAGCGTGGTTTAACACCTATAAAATTAGCATAACTGTACAGGCAGTAACATTTTCTATGTGTACTTTGTAACCCCTTAAGTTGCAAATTACTCAAAGGAACAATATCAATATATAAAATTATGGCAACACCATAAATTTTGTTTGGTTTATCTTAAGGTTTACATTCAAGACAGATGTAAATGGAAACTGCACTATTCTACTGTATAATGAAGGGGATACTTCGAAGAACTTTCAGCTCTCAAACGATGTAACGTTGCTTACCATGCATCATATGTTCTATATATAATTCAAGACTCAGACTTTATAGAAAATTAATTTTATTACCTCACTTTATTAACATGAAATGTAAATGCATCTTTACAAATAATGCTTTTTTGAACTTACAATATTGATAAATCATCATCTGAGCATTAAATTTATGATATAAAACCATAACAAAATTGTGTTACAGGATCTTTTAACATTTTTAGATTTATTTTATCAATATTTAGCAGTCATTTTTTGTGTGTAGTTTTATCATTATTGATAATAACAGATGGCATATTTTGTAATTTTTGTATTTAGATAAAAGGTAAGGCAGAATTTACTCTCCAGATGTCAAAGGTCACAAGTGAATTAGATATAAACTCAGACATAAAAGTCAGAGCTATGGTTACCGATAATGCTACAGTACTTACAATGGTAGCCGAACGCAGATTGAATATTGCGTCGAATAAAGTACAGCCCCTAACCATAACAAAAATTGATGCTTATAAAAAAAGCTATATACCTGGGATGACTTATCGTGCAAAGGTAATAAGCGGTCCTATAATGTTTCATTAGAATAATAACACATGTCAGAACTATTTAATTGTTATATAGATAAGAAAGGCAACATAAATAAAAGTATGATCAGTTTTATTGTTATATCAATAATAATAATGCAGGTCAAAACATTTTGTCGAATAAATATTTCTGTAAGAAGCATTCATTAATTGCTGAAATTCATTACTCAAATCACTTTACACTTATTTTTCAGATCTTTGTTGGAAGAAATGGTAAATCACTAGGAAGAAGCGGCAAGCTTACAGTGACACCATCGGTTACTACAGCGATATTGCAACATTGTTCTTACAATCCTCCTACGTACAAGTGGCTGAAAGTAAACACGGAACGCAGAAGGTCTTTTACACTCAATTTTGACGAGTCTGGATATGCTGACCTTGCATATTTGGATAACACTAAAAATGTAGAGAAAATATCATTTAAGGTTAGTTTATAATCATTACGCTATCCTTAACCTTTTTCTAGAATAGTCGGGTAAATGGTAAATGGGGATACTCTTGACAAAATTGCCTTCTTGACTCGAGTCTCTATATCATTGTAGTGGTTAAAAAGTTACTGGCTATCAATTACAGGGAAATAAAAAAAACAATTTTCAAATCCGTGCCGTCCACTTGATCCTTATCGCTTTATGTTCATCCAGAATCAATTGAATGAAAACTGAAGCATTTCTCAATTGTGCAGTATTGAACGGCATTCAATGTTTTCATTTTACTTTCAAAGTTGAATAATTAGGTAGTAAGATCGTGAAATGTCCAGGTAGGTGACATGTTTTCTTCTTCTTTCTTCAGACTTTCATAAAACGATAATTGCTAAACCTATTTACAATGTTATGTTTACTAATTTCCAAAATGTTATTAGAACATTAGTAATCTTGAAAATATTTCTAACAAACCATCATTTCTTTTCAGATTATATTACAAGACATAACTGCTGCTTCAAGTTCATTTGACATTTATCCTCTTTTGGATAATAAACCTTTTCTACGAATGAATGTTAACAAGTTCAGAGCAAAGGTAATGTTTTTTGTTTTGTTTTTTTTCAATTGTACTACATACTACTTACATGTTTTCATCATTATCTGTTTGTAGAGTAAAAATGTATTGGTACTTATTGGTTTATATTCAAGGTCGGGGAAAGCATTGTTGTCGACGTTACTGCGACGGAAAGCCTAAACGGAGCCTTGGCATTTGAGGTTGTATTTCAATCCTATTTTAGATTTATCAGTTTTGATAAAGATAAGGGCATTTGAAAACAGCCATTTACTTGATAACTTTAAGGCAAATAATTAATAAATACAACATTCTAAAAATCGTCTGTTAATCATGTGCTTCAGGAATTACAACAGACCTGCAACTCTTAATTGGTTTAATGTATTTTATTTTTAAAATGCATCACTGTAGGTATATGCAAGGGGTATACATCTTACATCAGAACGGGTAGCCATAAACGATGCTGTAACAAAGAAGCACACTATGGCAGTAACGAAGGATATGATTCCAAGTGCATTTATCATAGTAAATCATTTGACACAAACTGGTCATCTGATCGCCGACTATGTATATATACAGGTTGAAGGAAATCCATTCAAAAATGAGGTACTCCTCTGTATTTTAACGCATCGCATTTCTGTTCTTTACATTTAGTATCATATGTTCTTGTTTTTAAGCTACTTTATCTAATTCAAACCTTGCATTAAATTAACCTGTAATTCAATATAAGACTGCTAATATTATCCTTAGTTTAAGTAAAGTATTCAATCATTTGCCTTCATATTCCTGACATTGTGAGACAAATAACTTGATTTTTAAGGTCGAAGTTTCATTCAATGACACGAAACCACAGCCAGGAGAGACGGTAAACATGCACGCATCCGCCGATCGACACTCAACTATTTATGTCTTAGCCGAGGATCTCAGGAACCGTGTGTTTGGTGTTGACAACGACATATTTTGGACAGACGTTTGTTAATGCTGTTATTTTATCATTATTTTGAAATCAATTAAAATATTAAAACTGCATTCTGATACAACAATCTATTTTCACTGTAAATTATTACGTTTTAAGTAAAACATAAGTTAAACAACTGATTTCTCACTTTCCACTTGAAGTATTTTACAGTTTTTAAACAATGATATCAAATTATAGGTTGTACAAGAGATTGTTGATGCGAGTACTAGTATATCGCAAAATATAGGAAATCATGGAAACAGGAAAAAGGTACTGCATTATTATCCTCAATTATGAAACTGGACTTAATTAAACGACTAGCCAATGCTTGTACTAATTGTTTGTGTTTGGTATAAAGGGACATTATCATCGTGCCGAACAGCATAATAAGAAAGCATAAAGTTAGGTTGTAAAAAAAGGAAGGAAATTGAGGACAGAGATCAGCAAAGTAAAGGCAACGTTCACAGGACGCAGCCCCTGTGGAGACATGTTAATCAAATTTAGTTAGTTAATTCTTAGAATACAAATTTCTTATGAGTAATCAACCAGTTTCGGATGAACTTTGTATTTTGACAAGATTTGCTTACATATAGTGAAATTATTAGGTATTCTCAATCTTATTGATTTGATACTTGTTCACTTTTTCCATATTTATTAACGGATATTTCTATTTCATAACAGTTACTATGAATTTTCATATTCATTCTTAATGAAAAAAATGTACATTTGATCAAATATGTTTGTTCTAAAAAGTTAACTGTCATTATTTCCAGCGCACAGACCAGGTTAGACAGTTGGCTAAACGCTCGCACGGGAATCTTGGAGATTTAGACGACAAATATATTGTATTTATCGTTTATTATTTACACATTTATAATTGTTTCTCTGTTAAGTATTGTGCAAAATAGTATCACGTGCTTTTTACGGCTGTAAATGATTTATCTTACGTATACCAAATCAAAACAGTCTTTTATTATTTCTTTCAATGTTATTAATTTTCAAGACAACGTTACAGTCAGTCAGTTGCATGAAAGACTGGACACTAATGTGTTTGAAACTGTGCCTGCAGTGTTCAGTTGGTTGTTATTAAAGAATCATTATATGGTTATAATATTATTGATTATTTGCTTTCAGCTCATATAAAGCATTTATCCTAATATCATATTTGGGGTAATGATAAGTTTAATATAAAAACGTGTCATAATAGTTTCTTTTGCATGGGCTGACTATTTCATTTTAAGGAAAGCGGATTGGTAGTTCTCTCCGATGCAACGGTTTCCGAACAAAAGCTTGATTTACTTACTTTAAAAGGGTATAAACAAGAATGTAAAGCGCAAGGAGGTAAGAAAATTGGATAAACAATATCAGGTGTTATAAGCTTCAACAATTGAATGTGTAAAATGTTTTGCGATTACTAAAGTAAGCTGTTTTTCGACCACTATATATTCTTACAATCCTATATATTAAAACATTAACCTTTTTTTGTGAACAAAATGTGTTTATATGAATTTAAGTTTGAATAATGTCGTATTACAAAGAATATTTGGTATACAATTCAAATGCAAGATTTATTGCAATTTATGTAGACTTTAATCCATATTTTTCAGACTCCGTTCATGTGTGGGCATTTCTCACAAGCTGTGTTACCTGTTATAAGCGTAAGTACAAATAATTCAAAATATTTCGCTACAAGATATTTAGGTCTATCTTATAGATTTTACCCTTTTTACTTTCAAATGCATGAAGCAAAGAAGGAATTAATTCATGTGATCATTTAATAACGTTCCTTCATATGTATCTCAGTCGCTTTTGTAGTTGCTATTATGACATAATATAGTGTTATTTGTTAACCTTAAGTTAAAAAGTTTTAACAGTATTTTTTTTGATTAAGACACATGTTTTAACTGTAAGTTTATGATTTAATAATGGACATTTAAAATTATTTTGTCAAGCTTCCTTTCCCTCTACGAACTGGTCGCCAAGTTAACAAGTTCATTTCATATATTATAATATAATGTATGTTTCGATTTTATCCTATTTCTTATGATGTTTCTTGGTACTATATTCAATACTATAAGACATATTTATAGGTTTCATATTTCTTAGAGTCTTTTTCGTCTGTATTTACCACTTGTGTTATTTCATCTTAATATCATATGTACCTTATCGTTTTGATTTGCAGTTTTGCGTTTTTTATGTTCAAAACAATTAAGATAACCTTTTATTAGCATAAACCCATCAGTATAGCTATTTCAAAAACAATAACATATCTAAACAGGATCATTACCCCATTTATCGACTCCTATAATGAAATTAAAGCACATACCCGAAACGTAAAATCAGCTGTCAGCTGAAACGGAACATTATTTATTTTTCAGGTGGATTTGGATATCTCAGTATCTATTGATTTCCTTAAATTTTACATTCTTGATATAATTCATATATATTATAATAATATATATATAACGTAACGCATTTTAAGTGGACATTATGCTCATACGTAAATTGCTTGATAAATGACATTTTGAATTATTTTGTTTCAGCTACCAGTATTAATTTATTTGGTTTACAAGGTAACGATTTTATAACTGTATTTCATACAATTTTAAGATTCGATTATATTCTTTCTTCCATAATGTTTTATGTTAGTATATTCAAAGTACACTATATTTAATATTTGTTCCTTTCATAAGATTCTTATTATTTTGTATTTACCATGGTTTTGAGTTAATCTTAATACCATATACAAATGTTCAATGTTTAACAGTCTTTCTACGAACGTACGTTACCAAAGATCAACCAGTATACTTATTTTTTAAACAATTGCATATTTTAATTGTGGTCCATTTCATATATTGAAAAACATGTTTAACATGTATCTTATATTTGCAAACAATCAAAATAATTCATTTAATGTATGATTTAATTTGAAGATTTATTTATAATATTATTTAATAATTTATTTAATAATTGAAAGAAGGAAAGAATAAACAAAGCCCGTGTAGATTATATTGTCAACAAAATAAGTACACATTAGTAAGGTATTGCAATTGGTTGTTCCACAGGAATATCGGTTCACAGTCGTGACCTCGAAATATCAGCATTCGTTTGTTAAATGCATTCACACATGTTAACTGTAAAATATATCCTATATGCTATCAAGGTTATTAAATAAGTTAAAGATTTGGTAACGTAATTTCTATGGTTTTATATCATAAATCTGATGCTGAAATGAAGATTTACCAATATTGTAAATTTCAAAAGGCAGTATATGTAAGTTATTACCGATTATAACATTTCATGTTAATAAAGAGAGGTAACTAGAAATTTATCTATCGATAAAGTCTAAGATAGATAGATTTTACAATAAAAACTGAATGCATTAACTTTAACGTTTAAGTATCGTATGCATATAAACATTTGATGTACATATTTAACTCATTATTGGATTAATGGAAATTGTTTTAGAAGAATAATCACATGTAAATACATATATTTCACTGAAATGAAATGTATATTACAAAAAACCGGATCTTTAAGATATTAACTGTTGATTGCCCAAGTTCCTCTACAAACTCTTCATGAGAGGGAATTGTCAATAATTCCTTTGGTTGTCAAATTGTCGGCAATTATGCATAAGCTTTTATGTTGCGAGTATTTCATATGCTGATAAAAAAAACGTTATTGGTAGCTGCTTGTTGTTATCCGGATTATTATTATTTATCAGCGGTCACTCAAGGTTTTATAAAGAGAACATACGTTCGTACAGGCAACATTTAAAATTGAAGCCTAGAATATAAATTATCAAAACAAACTGTTAGAATAATTTCTACCAGAAGTTAATGATTGCATGATTGGTGGCGGTGTGTAATTGATTATTATCCGTTTACAGGATTAAACTTTCTCGTAAGAGCTACGTTTGCAAAACTTCAATAATATATTTCCCATGTATCAGTCGCGACATTTGTTTAAAATGATCGATTCTATTATGTAAGTCCTAAGTTAAAGGAAAAACACTGTCGTAAATTGGGTTCTATTTACTTTTTCATGAATTAAGATATTCTGAGTTGTATCCCTTGTTATATGATAAATATGTTGGGGAAAAGAAAAAAGCAGCCCCGCCCCCCCTGTGGTCCGATCAGCTAAATGGAACCAACACATTCTTTGCAGTTAGTGGATAAGTATTTCTAAATATCGATTGATTTATTTCCAGTTTTTTTAATTCTGGATTAATTTATTTGTTTTGATAGAGTGCAAATGTTGTCCTACGCATCTGTACATATTATCGTATCCATTTGTTGTTTCAGGAACTGCGATTGTAATATATGTTTAGTTGTTTTATGTACTAGTATTATGTTTATTGTTGGTAATTCGGTAATTAATGATTTGATAATGACATTTCGGATTTATTTTTTTCAGGAGCATTTCCTTCTTCGAACAATGCCTATAACGGTAACGATTTTTATAAATTAAATGCATTTAATACAAGTTTTGATTACATCCTGTTTCTTATGATGTTTTATGCTACTATATTTCAAATCTTCTAAGCATTTATACATCCTTTTATTATGTTTTGAGCCGTATATGTCTTAACCAAGGTCTTGAGTTACATTATTCTTATATCATAACTACTTTATCGTTTAATTTGCAGCTTTGCGCGTTTCAAATGTTCAAAACTTTGGATTAACAAGAAATTATGTTAACTGTTTTTGCAAAAAAATCATCAGTATTCATTATTCTTATTTCTCAAACAACGATATATATAGGTAAATATTGTTTACCATAAGGGAACTGTGATCCATTCCATATTTTGATAAACATGTGTACTTTTTATTCTATATTGGCAAATAATCAGAACAATCACTGAAATGGATGAATTCTTACTTTGCAGGAGGTGGATTAGGGTTATCAAATATTTTCTTACCAGATGAGCAAAAATAGCTAAATCACATACGATTTAATGAACCTGTACTGTTCAAATAACTGAAATATGTCGACCTATCAGTTATTTTAACTTTAAACAAAATTTATAGCTAAAGAATTCAAGCTGATTATAAGTTGATCTTTACCATATACTGTTCACATGGAAAGTTGTATCGTTTTAAAAACTTTTCGTATAATAAATGTGCTCACAAATATCATTGTGCTTGATAAAACGTATTGATAAACATAAAGTAACTTCAATATATTTTTGAAATCACACATTTAACTTTCATGACATTATTTCATGTGGTACATTTTTCTGCGCCGAAGTAACCTTTATAATATAATATAATAACCTGACTTATTAATAAAATTCAAAACTTTCATGTCTTTTAAAACTGAATAATTTTTCTATAAATGTTATAGATGAAAGCAAAAAGGGATCTGGTAAGTGTCAATTTATTATATTTACTGTATAATATAACGGAACGAAAACTGCACAATATAATAATAATAACTTTCCATGTTCTAAAATATTTTTTTTGAATAACGCAAAGTAAGAATGCAAAAGTGGAATAGATTCATTAATGTAGTTTTCAATCTGCTTTATGTCTCTATGTTACTCTGGAATTAATTTCCTCTTATGTGTAAAACTTGAATTTGAACACATACATGTATTCGACTAAACTTTCACTGTTTTTCGCTATTTGGAAATTTTTTTATCCTACCGTTCATGAGATTTTTTAGATAACTAGAGGTGATATTTGACGTAAACGAAATTTGATGCATTTATGCTTACCTGAGCTGGCTCAGAGTGAGCCGTTAGGATCGTTGGATGTCCGACGTCCGTCCGTATTTAGTTCCTTAAAACTCAAGCCGATGTCAGAATGTTTGTCCAAGTGATTGCTCGGACGAGGTCGAACACTACCAACAATAGAAAAATCCTGAAAACACATTCGTAGCTTTTGTTTCGTTTCAAATATCTCGGAAATTTGTCAGAAAGGTTGTTATGATGATATCAAGATCAAGTTCGAGCTCGTAGACAGTTCATCTGGGATAAAAATGTCGGTCTTGCAGTCAAAATATAACACTCTAAAGGTAACTGTTTCTGTCTAAATATCCCGTAAATCGGATATGGGTTATCTTGGGTCAAAGGCCAGGTCAAAAAGCATAATAATGGAAAGTTTACATGCTACTGTTTCAGTACAAATATCTTTAAAAACAATAAAGGTTGATTAGAGAAATCCTAGGGTAAGATTGAAAATGGGTCACCTTGGATCAAAAACTAAATTACACAGCCTAAATATGGAACAGAAAATTGGGTACACTATAGGTTACAGTTCAAGCCTTTCTATCCTGGAAATTGATGAGAGAGGTTGTTTATATAAATTTGAATATGGAACATCTGGGTTCAAAAAAGGTCACAGAACCCGACTATTGAAACAACTCTAGAGGTTAAAGTTTCAGCCTTTATATCCTAAAAAATGATCAGACATGTTATTTGGATGATTTCTAGATCGGGATTGAACATTGGTCATCTGGGTTCAAAATCTAGGTCACAAAGCCCAAATATTGAAAGGTTGATTTTATGATTTCGAGGTCATGTGCGAATATGTGTCAGCTTGGGTCAAAAACTAGGTGACAAGTCTTAAATAATTAAATGAAAGCTAGTTTACACAACTAGAGACAATATTTTAAGTTCGCATATCATAGTCATTGGCCAGACAGACTGTAAGCTTGATTTCTAGCTCAACTTTGAAATAGGTAATCAGGTATTAAAAACTCGACGACAGATTCCAAATATGGAATAAACCAGCTTGTGGACCCTCTGAATGTAATATTTCCAGCTCTTATATCCTAGAACTTGCTTCTGGAAGTTTTTTTAATGATTTCTAGCTCAAGATTGTACATTTGTCATTTTTAGTCAAAAGCTCCGTCACACAGCCCCCCCCCCCCCCCCCCGCGAAAGCTTGTTCTTCATTTGCACTATTATAGATGCAGATATGAAAGTTATCAGCTAAGAATTAAGATTTTTTTTTTCATTTAGAGTTCACAATATAACTTGTTGCTTGTCATTTAGAGCCTTAGTTCATCATAGCACTCCTGTCTATATTTCATAGGTTTGTCCCTGGAGGAAATTGTAAGAACGAAGTTTCCTGATACCTGGCTTTGGGACGAATATAATACTGGGTAAGATAAGTAATATTAAGAGATTCAGACAGAAGTCTAAAGATATAGGTGTTCAGATCCCCCCGAAAAACAAAAACAACTAAAAATATGATTGTACAGATTATAAAAAACAACATTTACGTTGACAGTTATGAAAAGATGTGTCTGAATGAAATAACAAAATAAATACTGTAACGATATTCCTTGTAAACTTCTTTTTCAGCATGAACGGTGTAATTGATATTGCTCATAAAATTCCTGATTCAATGACGTCATGGGTGACTTCAGTATTTGCCGTTAACTCAGAAACAGGTTTTGGGATTGCTGAAACAAAACCAGAAGTAAGTTTTGTGATGTTTAATACCCCCCCCGCCCCAATAGATTTCATTTATGATATTTGTTCGTGTTAACTGTTTGCAAACATATCTTTCTCAAGACAATCTTAATAAATAATACGTCCATGTGCACGTGTGCCTTTGTGTGTTAATATGCTACATTTTAACTAAAATAGCTACTATTTCTAACGTATTTTGCTTTTACAAACTGTTTTATTTTGAGCATGAGCTACATAAACAACCTTATCACAATCACCACATAAACGCATTTGCAATGTCACGTATACTTCTGGTTAGACTATTACTAGGTATCATATCTAACAGCGGTCTTGAAACGGGGCATCCTTTAACTGGCATTGGAACACATAATTTGAAATGGTAGACTCAGTTTTATTTAGTCTGTTAATGAGAGATATTCACTTAACCTCAAGCGCCGACTATTCAAGTGATAATTTCGATAATCCTCATAGCTAAAAGTATTCGAAAAAATAATCCGAAGAACTGAAAAATGCAGTAAACATGGAGATGAATAATCAAAGCAACTTTTTCCAGTTCAACTGGCTATGTTTCATCCATATTTCTACTTTCAAGCGAAAAACCTGTGTGGTTTAAACATTTTTTTTATCTAGTAAAAAAATTGCACATCAAACAATTGTTATTCACTCCACGTTTAGTTAGATGTCGGTACAGGTTTTGACGATCCAGATGATTTGATAAAGTGCTAAATCTTAGATTAAATATGTTAACATTATTTAAAGAATATAAGACAAATTAAAACAAACGAAAAAAAAATCGAGAGAGAATTATATAAAGAGATGATAAGAAGTTTTAATCAGGAAGGAACTCCGAGTAAAGAAGAAAATATTAGAAAATATAAAGATAAAAAGAAGATTAAGCGAACTACAGAATGGTAGCATGGGACTCCGTATTATTGGCGTATTTAACTTTTCCTATATGGCTGCATTCAATTTCATTGATGAATTTAATAATCAATATTCTGTGTAAATCAGTACAAATTCAACTAATCATTACATTTTTATTGAATGAGGTCAAATTTTTTTAATTTCTATGAATACATGACAGCACACGACAAAATACTGAGAGTACGTCGATAATAGAGTTGCGCCGATAATATAGAGTTAGAGTATACCTTCATGAAGAAGATCGACATTTGAAGATGAGTCAACGTTTGAACTTTTAAATATAAGTGTGAACAACTTTGAATATACATTCATTCACTCCAATTGATAAAGATGTATTTCTTAAATAATGATTTTAAGAGAGACAATACAATAAGTATTGATAACATTTATGAAGAAAGGTCTGGTATTATCATTCTGCTTACAGTATAGAAAGAAGTGGGAGGATGTGTCGCGTATCACACAGAAACAAAGAGAAATTCTTTTGTGGAAGAACACATATGCCACACCGTCCAATAGCTAGACAGACTCCTTAAAGAGACTAAAATGATATACTCTATCAAATTTAATGCTTATTTCCTCTTTAATATATACTATATCGGCGAACAACTTGCATATTCTGGTTTCAAATGTTCCAAAAATCTGTCGGTGTAATGTTTTTCAACAGTTTGAAAGATACTTATTTTTACCATAATTTGATATTGTTTCGACACACATGTGTTACTTATACTTCTTAATATTGGCAAATGATGACAATAATATGTGGAGTTTAATGATTTTATTTGTAAATACATTAAAACCTTCAGATATTGGTGCAGAAAAAGTTTTTCCTCACAATGGATCTTCCGTCATCAATTGTTCATGGCGAAGAGTTTCTCCTCCAGATATCAGTATTCAATAACGACCCAATAACTAAATTGGTAATGATTTTATACTTAGTAAAACGTTTTGTATTATTATTTGTTTGCTTTCTAGATTTTTTAATAATTTTTTTCCGATTTCGGGAACTTTTCTGCGTATATTGTATACCTACTTTGCCTATAAGTTAATTAACATATCTTAATTACATATCGATGACACAAACAAAGTTTTCATACGAGTGCTACAAAATGTTCCTTTGTCTCACAAAATACATTTGTGAACGTACTTAGCGATTTGATAATAAATAATGAAATATTTTGAATAAATAATCAAATAAGTTTATAATGAATTAAAGTGATTTAATTCGAAATCGTGATTTCTTTTCAAATTAGCAGTGATCTTAACAAATGTAATACATTAGAACTTTCGGCATTTAAAGTTAAGATTATACCATTTTAAATTAAGGTATTTCTGCGAATAATGCTGTCTGAGAACCCGAGCAATACTATTCCAGCTTCTACTAAAGTAAGTTAACTCTTTTTACATTTGCATAAACATCATTATAAAACATTATTAGAAACTTGTTTAGATTGCATTCTAAAATTGTTAAACGACCAAAAGAAGCTCTATGTAGTAAGTAATCATCACTTATTTAATCTCATTTCATGTATTGTTATAATTTGTATCATTGTTATCATCATTATGATATTATTATAATTGATAATGAAAGTTGCTATTATTATTTAAGGTGAAGGGAAATGATGGTCAATCAACGTTCATTCGTATCCAGCCTGAACACATTGGAGAATTGAATATAACAGTAACAGCCTATATTATGGGCAATTTCTTCTTTAGCATACCGGATCAAATAATGAAAAGCGTAACAGTACGGGTATGTTGGATTTAGAGCAACTCATTTATATCAAATGTTTCTTCGAAATAATTATAACCAACTTGATATGCCATGAATCTGATTTTCGGGAGAAAAAGTACGAACTATTCAATTGATCAATAAATCGACGTCTTTTATATATCTGATATATACATGTATAAAGTCTGTTAACAGCACATTTGTTAAGTATTCATCATATTTTCTTTAACGATTGATATTTTCTTACGTGTATATTTTCATCATAACGGAAATGAAAACATTACTTCAACGGTTCAGGATTGATAATTGTTTTAAACAATTGTTTTGCTTGTATAATGTTGTTTCTTATTTATAATAAGTAAACATAGTCAAAAAGTAACTGAATGATATGTTACATTGTTCATTCTACAAATCGGTGTTGTAATGCACATGCTGTTATATCTCTCAAATTGTAAATGAAACATGTTTACAATTAAAGAACATTACCACAAACTATATTGAACATATCGGATGAAATGTACGTAAATAAAGGTTAATACATGTACACGTTAGTATGTTCAAAACAAGGATGTATGCTTTAAACAAAAATGACTTGATAACATAAAAAAATAAAAAAAGTACTATCACGCACTTTCATATTAATAAAAGATATTTTGTCACTTGGATCTATTGCAAAGTGTTCAATTTTTTTACTACGTCAATACCCTTGTGGCTGAGGGATTTCCTTTCTGGGTTTAGGCAACAGCATTGCACCCACTTTTAATCCCTATGTGATCGTAAGAGGCAACTTAATGGGTTCAACTCGTATAGCAATCATTGTCCTTTGACCTTTAAGTATTTAATCACACGATGGTTTTGTTTCAGCCAAACGGTGTATTCAAAACAACCAATGAGCAACATCTTATTGATGTTACACCAGAGTCCAGTCGATTTATCAAACACATTAATATAGTTCATCCAGATGATATGGTTGAAAACTCTAGATTTACTAAAGTCATCATTACCGGTCAGTGTATAAATGTCATTTTGATTTTTCTTACACCTATTACACTGTTTATTCAATCAGGCGTACACACTCATGTTATAATATTGCTGTTATTGTCTATGTTTACACTCATAGGCATTAACGGTTTAAAATGAATTAGGCGAATTTTCATTATTCAAGTATTAATTATATTCATGATTTTATAGTAAGTATCGAATATCTTTATTGTTTAATGTTTTATTGAACAATATCGTCATATAAATACATTTCCTGTGGCACTTATGTCGCTTGTTTTGTCTGTGTTATTTTCAGGAAATTTCATGGTACCTAGTATTAATGGGTTAGATAATTTGATACGAATGCCTTATGGTTGTGGTGAACAAACTATGATAAATTTTGCCCCAGCAATATTCATTCACGATTATCTAACTGTTGTTGAGAAATTGACCCCAGATATAAAAATGAAATCAACTAAAATTCTGAAGACAGGTAACAGTTTTTATGTCTAATGTTTAAAATGACATCTGTATTTTCTTTTGGTTTATACAGAATTTATTTTAGTTCGATTGTGTAGGAAGCTATAAGATTATAGACACACTTTCGAATCGGTTCCTGGAACCAACCAGTACTGAGCAATAAGTGTAAAGTTTCTTGCTCAAGGAAACAACGACTTGCCCCTGACGGGGTTTGAACCCATGCGGCTAGCGATCATGAGATTACTAGTCCGACGCGTTAACCATTCGGCCATGCCGCCACTCTTTGAACCTTTGATTCTTACACAATGTACACAGTAGATTTGCCTTTCAGTTGTTTGAAATTTTAGAAACATGATATCTTAAGCATGAAACAAAATAAATTATTCCTTTATATGTCTGAAAAAGTATTGATATTTACTGAGAGATAGCAGTTCAAGGTCAAAGTCACATTGACTTTCAAAGTCCTTTTGAAGTTTATATATAACAAAGGGAAATTGCAAAGTATGAACTAATTATTTGGTTTCCTTCCTATATATTAATATATTACCCTTTATTTCCTAAAATCTATTACTTTATTATGTCTGTTTTACCAAGCTTTATATTTTACTACATTTTAAAAAGAAATTTGAGGAGATTATAGGTTTATACGATTTATTTTTTTCAATGAGACTATCTTATTAATTAAAACCGATGAAACTTGAAATATGTAAATTCAAATGATATAATTTTTATAAAATATCATTTTATTTTAAACAAATCTGCGTTCGGGTGTATTTTTATCCGCCTATGCGGTACTCTTGTTGAAATGATCAACTGATTTGATTATCATAGTAATAAATTTTGCTCGATAACTAAAACAAAAAACTATCGTCTAAGACTAAACAGACTAACAGACTAAATCGAATCGAGTCTGTAACATGTTTTTTCTTTAATTTTGCCGTGATTGTCTTTATTTCAGGATAATGTTTTTTTTTCTTTTTCTAAACATACAAAAAAGATTCAACGGATCCGTTTTATAAACAAATAACAATGGTACGTATTATGTATCTATACATTTGACTATACACATTATTATTTTTTTCTAGGGCTACAACGAGAACTGAGATATCAACGCAGAGACGGTTCGTTTAGCGCATTTGGAAACCGGGATTCTTCTGGGAGCAGCTGGTATATAGATTTCAGACAGCTATATATTTGCTGATTAACAAAAATCCGGTTTTTTGTCACGAGAAAATGCAAAAATGCAAAACACAAGTTAATCAAAATTGCATTAACTTCTACAGCATGACTCTATAGATCTAACAGTTATTGTATACTTTTAGGACATTGATATTGAACAGATTTAGCGAGATTTAAATAAGGAGAAATACGACAATAAATGATGTCCAGATAACATTTGTCATGTGCAGTGTACTTCGCGTTTTAGCATACTTATCTTCGCCGATTTCGCATTGATCTAGTTTTGCCTTAACACATCTTTGTTTAAAGATTTTATGGACTTATTCGCCCTCAGAAAAAAGTATTTATCATAGAAACAATGTTTAGCAATTTAAAAAGTTTTTATTTTAAATAAACCTTTTTTGTAGATTTGTTAGAGTCCTCAACATTTGTTAATAGAGATTTTGAAAAAAAAAATTGAACGTCACACTTTTGACACTGTCTTAAAGTTTACGGTCGAACGTTGCCAGCTAATAGCTGCTATCTAATAGTTTATGGCTGAACTTTGCCAGCATACTTGCCATTTGTGTAATTGATGTGCTGATGTGCATGAATAACCGGCACATGCCAAATGCAAATTGCTGAAATACCAAATGCGAAGACAAAGTTTGGCAAGAAATAAATTATATAACTAATTCGACATGGTAAATCAACCACCACAAAACTTATCATTTAAATTTGAATGATAATTTAAATGCATTTTCCAACGTAAGGGATTCTAAATAGATGCATAAATACCGTTTTTGTCACATATTTATGATAAACCATATTTGCTGAAAAAAGTTTTAATGTCATAATTCACATTGCAGCATCGCGACAGAACGTTAAAGTTTTATTAAGTTAATGATTGTATTTTCTTCTGAACACAAGGCTGACAGCGTTTGTTCTGAAGTGTTTCGGTCAAGCAAAAGATCTCATTCAAATTGACGATTCTGTTATGGTTAAAGCTATGGTGTGGTTGCTGAGATACCAAAATAGGGACGGATCTTTTCGAGAACCAGGAAGAGTCATACACTATCAAATGCAGGTACATACATATCTTTTTTTAACTAAAACTAAAACGGAAATTATTACAATTGGCTTAAGTTATTTTTACATGACTGTTTGTGTTCTGCCCTCCTTGTCGCTTAAACCTTGTCTGGCATCAGTAATATTTGGTGCTATCCATTGTTTTACCGTTTTCATGTTGTTATAGAATATTTGCAAAAAAAAAAAATGATACAATTCAATTTATTTTTCAATTTTAAACATTTATTTACTAGATCAAGTTGCTAAATATTACAAACAAAATCAAAAACGTAATGTGAAATTGTAAGTACTAAGCTATATTTACTGAATACACATACGGACGTTTTTGACGAAAATAAATAGTATATATTCAAACCGTTATTACAACAGAATTTGATTTTTTATCAGGGTGGGTCATCTTCCGGAATAAAGATGTCAGCATTTATTCTAATTTCATTATTAGAAAACAGAAATGTTTCAACTGTTCAGGTACGCATTACTGATATAGCAATAAAGGTTAAAGGGATACTCAGGCAAAATAATGACAAAAATATAAAAATGATCTTCTGTACTCAAATCACCCTAAAATGACATTTCTGAAAGTCCCAGCATAAATTTCTGTATTAATTCTATATATTTTGGGTTTGAAGTGTAAATATATCTATATATGAGCCGCGTCATGACAAAACCAACATAATGGGTTTGCGAGCAGCATGGATCCAGACCAGCCTGCGCATCCGCGCAGTCTGATCAGGATCCATGCTGTTCGCTTACCAATCCTATTTCATGTAGAGAAAGTGATAGCGAACAGCATGGATCCTGATCAGACTGTGCGGATGCGCAGGCTGGTCTGGATCCATGCTGGTCGCAAACGCACTATGTTGGTTTTGTCATGACGCGGCTCATGTGTGGAACAAAATTTAGATGCCAACAGAATCACCGAATAGTTTAAAAACAAGTCATGTAATTTAAACAAACCCTGCAAATTACAATAACAGGTTTTGTGGATATTGTATGATTGAAACAAGTCTAAGTAATTGATTTAACATGTTCTTTAACGTTTCAAGAGTACAAAGTGATAACTATTGTGAAATCTTAGTGCTGTAACCTGACCCACGCGGGTCAAGTAAGAAAACACCATTCTATTCTTTATATGGAGAAAAGTTTTGTTCCTTTGACTGTTTAGTGTATTCATTTTGAGGAAATGTATAGAATAATGAATGAATAATTCAAAACTAAGACATGAAAATTTTGCCTGTGTCATTCTTTAAGGTATTTCACATAATCAGAATTATATAATTATTGCAAGTAAATACCTTCAATCTACATATAAGGTAACTTTTAGCTATAGACATATCAGTTATCTATAATCTTAAAATCACAATCATAGAAACTCATATTCATCTTCATACCAATTATTATTATTTTTTCCAGTTCATTCTAATATCAATTAGTCTATATTTTGATTTATATGATTGTTATTTGCTTATGAGAGGGCTTTCGTTTGTTATGGAAAATAAACTTGACATTTAAAATGATATTAAATGGCCTATACTGTAAAACAACTTAGCGTTCGGAACATTTGAAGATAAAATTTAATCATGACGTTATTCAATATGATTTTTGAATAAGGAACACTCGGTCGTCTTAAAAATGAATATTTGGACAGCTGTGTCATTTGAAGCATGGAGCTATGTTTTTCAATATTCTGCGAATGCAAGTAATACTGTACAAGTTCAACAGCTATAATTTATAAAAGCATGGAATAGTAAGTAAAATGAGAAAACAAGCGGTTGCGTAATTTTAACTCTTTAAATTTGTATAAAAATAGGGAACCGATGTCACCATGGCAATAAGAAAGGCATCTACCTTCTTAGAAGCAAAACTTAGCTATGTCAAAGATTCATATTCGCTAGCGATCATATGCTACGCTCTAGCAAGTGCCAATAGCCCTTCGAGAGCCAGATGTTACAGGAAGCTGAAGAAAGCCGCTTTTTATGATGGTTTAACTCTACATTTTCAAAATGAAATATTCATACTCGTGTTATGACAGACATGGATTAAACCATGTTTTAGTATCATTTGATTATTCCGTGTTTAAATTTTAATTGAATGTATAAATGCTTTTTACTAAGGTTTTCATTTTTTGTTGAATTATATGTATATTTCTTTATTATCTTCTTATATTTTCATAGTGTTCCGTTTTAAATTCTACTGTTGATCTTTGTAAGATTTTCAATTTTTATGTTTAAGGCTTTTGAACCGATTGCTAAGTAAGTGGAACTTCTTAATTTTTATTTTATTTATAGATGACAAAACCTACTGGAAGGCTAACCATAAAGTTACAAAAAGGGAAGTAGGTGATCGTGCATTAAGAAATAGAGCACCGTCAATGGATGTAGAAGCGTCATCGTATGCTCTTCTAACTTATATGAAACTTGGGTACTACACAGAGGCTTTTCCTATCGTAAAATGGCTTGTGTCACAACGTAACCCTACTGGTGGTCAACGATCTACTCAGGTAAACAGCAATGTAAATGCAAAGATGATAGAGACTGAATTGATTAATTCGAAATACCTTGTTGATTATTCATAATCATGAAGCGGATAATAGGGACTGAAAGTAGTTCTTCCACGTTATTTTATGACAAATATTTTGGTAATTTAAAACTGAAATGAAATATGTGTAAACATATATCAGAATCAGTATTAGCATTCACAATGACTTACACTTAACAAATCCGAAATTTATCAGGAGGGAACAATTTGTTATTTGGTTACAAAAAGAGTATTACAATATATACTGTCTGGTAATGTACTGTTTACTTTTATATTTATACTGTAATTTTACCGTTATTCATGTGGCTTTTCCACAACCTATAGCAATAAAACGTTAATAAAATCCAAGCACAGTGTACTAACTTTTTGTTTATATGTTTAAGTTGTGTGGCAAAGATAACCATAAAATACCTTATCCGTTCATGTATTCATACTATTTTTTAGAAGGTACTTAACCGAGATTGAAGGGAAGTGCTTTTAAATTGAATATAGTAAAAGTGAAGGAAATACGCCAACCAAATTTTAGCGTTAAGGTTAAAAAAAAAACAACAAAATCAATAACAATTATTAAGAATTGCACGAATATCAAATCAAAAGCAAATCAATCATTAGGAACAAATGAAGTAATTAACGTCAAGTCATAACTTGTATCCATTTTACAGGACACAGTTATATCTATACAAGCCCTTGCCGAATTTGCAACAAATGGAGAGGCTACACCAGGCCCGAATTATGGAGTGAAATTTGAATTGTCTCATGCTGGAAAGTTTAATCACGTGTATACTACAAATCTGTCTACATTTGATTTTGTGCACACATTCGAGGTATTTCTTTTATTAAGAAACTTGAGGACAGCAAACCAAATTACTCAATAGGACTTCCAACACATACATATCTATAAGTTGTCAATTTAAATGACACGATTTATTTTGAATAGTTGATGAATTTATTTTCTTATTTTATATAGTTCAAATTCAATGAAATTATTGCCACATTTCCTGTAAGAGATAAAGTAAATGAGGGTTTACGAATCAGGGGCAAGCTAATTACCCAGTTTTAAATAACAAATGCAATATTTTTGACATAGTAAAAAAGTACACAAAAATAAATCGTCATAACTCGTAGAATTTTTTATTTGTTCGAATTCATTACATAACAAGAAATACATTGTACCGGTATTTGATTGCATTACCTAAATATCTTAATTTCTATCTTATGTTTCAGCTACCCTTCGATGTTGAAACGTTCACGCTTCAAGCAACAGGATCAGGGTCAGCAATTATCGATGCAAGTTTAATTTATTAAAATGTAAACGATTTTAGTATTTTTTTCAAAATGTTAAAAAAACAACATAGTAGAGAAGACGTTATAAATTTAAATCAAAATTAGTTTAAACTTGATGCTTATTGTTTTCATTACTAGCAAAAAAAACCCTTATACATGCATACATACCTATTTTCATTTATAAAGAACAACACTTTTATTGGAAAATATGCGGTCCTAGATTTTGACATTACAGAAAACTGTTTTATCTAAAGACATACTCTTTCCAAACTCTAGGGTTGCAAAATTGTGTTTTAAATACTAAAAGACAAGATTGCTAGCATCAAACATACATTTTGAAGAACAAAATCTCAACTTGAAAATATGCAGTCAAATTTTCTGTAATTATGAAAATTATATAATGTATCTAATCAATATTCAGTTATTTCACACGTGATTTGCGGTCTCGGGCAACAGTTCAAAACATAACCCCCTCCAATCGGGCCAACAATTTGACTGTTTCCAAATCACGTATGAAATAATTGTATAATAATACACGGAGGAGCGCCTGAGGTCTCCCTATATTATTGAAGCTTTAAAGTCGCCAATTGATCTATACAGTGTTGATGCGACGTAAAACCCAACCAAACCTTAAAAAAATAAACGAAAACAGGAAGTGCTGAAAACATGTTAATAAGTTAATAAAAAAACTATTGTATTGACATTGCTTAGGTATCTACTTCATATTATGTGACTGGCAATGAAAACGATGATAACATAGAGGTTAAAGCAGTAGTGACAAAAGAGTCGATAAATACTGTGACAATTGAATCCTGCCTAAGGTGACATGAATATTTATTCTCCACTGTTAAATAGTTTACTAATAGACACAAGTAAAATAACAGTATAAACAGCATTTTTTACATTTCTTGATTTTCTGGTATCCAGTTGTCTATATATATCTCAAATCTCATGATACTAAAGCATTTAATATGTTTTATGATCATTGTTAATTAACCAATAATTATGTCTCAAGTATGAGAATTGAAATAAAGATACAATTCTTAATATCGATCTATATTATTGATATATCTATATTGATTTATTGGTAAACATATCAATACGCAATGTATGTATTTTGGGAGCTTTTGTTGACAATATTTAACATATTGGGACTATTATTATGTATGTTAGATGGACTGCAAGTGACAATAGTGGCATGTTACTCATGGAGGTAGAGATGCCAACAGGATTTCAGCCTGACGATAATCTATTGAACAGTCAGGACTCGATCATGAAACACGAAACGAATGGAAGAAATATTGCTTTATATTTCAATGGTGTATGTATGATTTCATTTGTGTATATACTAGTCACTTACTGCAATATCAGACATCTTGTTCTGGGTAACTGTGAAGCGGCAGCTCTGTAAAGCCTGTGTAGCAATCTCAAGCCATAATCTGACCTGATAATAAATAATTGAAAGATGAAAGTTATTTTTACCCTGTCTTATAACTATGTATGTCAAATTCAAGCATTAAATAACACTATTGAATTATCTTCAATACAGGTAAATCCAAATACAGACGTTTGCGTTGATGTGAAGATGGACCGTGTTGACCCAGTTGTCAAGAGTCAAGCCTGCCATGTAAAAAGGCATGGGGAACTACGAATCCATATTTATTTAAATACGAAAAAATATTTTTTTAATGAAGCCTTAAAAGTGTTTTGGGTTTTTTAAAATTTAACAATAAATGGGTTACTTGAAAATTTATATAAAACTTTTCCCAACAAACAAACCGAAAATTAATTTTTAAATTTACTTGTTTTTTGGGGAAAGGAAAGGGATACAAAAAATAATCATATTTCTTTTTTCATTGTTTATAGAAAGGATAAAACAAATTCAACGGCAAAAATTTATTTCCCATAAAAAAATAATTGGGGGGGCCATCCCTTAAAACCCATAAAAACAAAATAAAAGGGGTTTTTTTAAAATTTTTTAAAATCAATTTTTAAATATAAAACTACATGAAATTTTCTTTTTTGTTTTTTTTCCAAAATTAAAATTTTTGACATACATTTGGGTGTGCCCCGGGGGTTTCCCCAAACCCCCGGGTTTTTTTAATTTTTCCCCCTTTTTGTCTTTTTTTAAAAAACCCTTTTTTTTAAATTCCCCCGTTTTTTTCCCAAAAAATGGGGCCCCCGGGGGAAAAAAGATAAACCCCTTAACAAGTAAAAAAAAATGTTTTTTTTTAATTTGTTTTTGTAAATTATTTTTAATTGATTTAAAAATCTCCCTTTCATTTTTCGTTTTGCCCTTTTGGGGTTTTTTTTTTCGGGTTTTTTTTTAAAAACCCGGTTTTTTCCCCTTGGCCTTTAAAAGAATTTTTTTGGGGGTTCCCCTTTGGGGGGGGGGGGGTTTTTGGCCGTTCTAAAAGGGGCCGCCCGGGTCTTTTTTGATTTTTTAATTGTCATAATTTTAAAATTTTAAAAAAGAGAAACCCAAAATTTTTTTGTGAAAAACAGTCAAAAAAATCATTCTGGGGAAAAATACTTTTCCCCAAAAGGTTTTAGGGAAAAAACCAGGGGGGATAATAACAATTTTTCTTTCCCCAAATTATATGGGGTTCTTTCGCAAAACCCCAAAAATGGGGGGAGGGAACTTTTTTTTAATTTTTTTTTAAAAATTTTCCTGCACATTTCCTGTTGAATTAAATATTACATAAAAAACTGTCATAAATGAGTTTTTTTTAATTTTTTAAGCCCATCAAGCAAAAACTGGGATAAGGATTTAAAATTGTAAAGGGGAACCCAACATTTTGAAAAATTTTGTCCTTTGTGTGGATTTTAAAGCCCGGAGAACCGGTAAGTTAGATCTCTTCTAAAAATTAAAATTTTGGAAAACCCAAAAAACAAAAGCCCCTTTGGGTTTAATTTTTTTAATTAAGACCTTTAATATTTAAAACTGAAAGACGGGGGTTTTTTCCCCTCTAAAAAAAGGGAAAAAAAGCAAAAAAACGCAAAAATTAAAAAAAAAAAAAATAGGGGGAAAATTTTTTTTTAAATTTTAAAATTTTCCCAATTTTTAATTTTAAATTTTGTTTTTCTTTTTTAAGTTTTTTTTTTAAAAAAGGGGCAATTTTTACAAAAAAATGAAAATATTTTTTGTTAATCAATAAAAAAAAATTTTAACTTTTTTTTAAAATTAACCAAAAACCCCAAAATTGAAAATTTTTCCCCTTAAATTTTTAAAAAAAAATGTTTCAACCATCTTTTCAAAATTGGGAGTAGGGGGGTTTAAAAGCAAAGGAAAAACCTAAAAAATAAAATGGGGAAATTGTTCGGGGTTTAAGCCCCCTTTTTAAACCCCTTTTGCCCCGGTTTTTTTTTTAAAATGAAAAATTCAAAAATTTAAAATTAAATTCTGTTTTTTTGTCTTACAAATTTAAAAAAGGGGAAATTTAAACCCAATTAAATTATGGGGAACTTTTTTTCCCAGGATTTAAACTACCTACACTTGTTTATTTTAAAACAATCTTTTCACATAGAGCGTTTAAATTTTAAAAAGATTTTTTTTTTTTGACATTTTTTTTCCCTTAGTCTTTTCCCATTGAGGAAAAATTTAAGGGTTTTATATTGTTTTTTGCTAGATGACCTTTTTTGTTTTAACTTTTTTGTACTTTAACAGAGGAAGGAAATTTAATTTTTCCCTTCACGTTTAATAAATTAAATCTTTATCAGTAAAAAATTTTAAAATTTTTTGTTTTAAACAAATTTGTGCAATTTAATTTGAGGGGGGAAAAATTTTTAAAAGATTTTATATTACTAGAAATTTAAACCCCAAAATTAAAATTAAGGTAAAAAAATTTTGTATTAACATAAAAACAAAATTTTTGACTAATACGAATTATTATATCTTTTCCCTTAAATTTTCCCCCTTTAAAAAAAAATAAAAAAAATTAAAAAAAATTTTTTTTAAGGGGGGGCCCAAAAAAAAATTTTTTTATTTTTTTGGCCATTTTTAAAAATTTGCATTTTTGATGAAAAAATTTGTTTTAAAACAGGGCAAATTTGGAAATTTTAAATGTAAAAAAAAAAAAATAACAATGTTTTAAAATAAAATATATTTTAAATGTTTAAAGTTCTTTTTTAACCCAAGACTAACTTAATTCTCTTTAAATTAAAATAAATGTTTCCCAAAAGGCATATGTGTCTAAACCCTGTTTTTTAAATAAAATTTTTAAACATTTTTTCGAAAACAACATTTTAAAAATATTTTTAAATGTTAAAGGTCAAGATTAGTGCGTCATCGATAAAGGGTTCCCATTTTTAAAAAATAAGTAATCATAAATTTCTTTTAAAAAAATTTTTTAACCTGATCAATTTTTACCAAACAGTTATTAGGGGCCCAAAAAATTTTAAATTGATCAAAAGGCAAAGGCTTTTTAAAAAAAAAAAAAATTTCTGAAGAAGAAAAAAAAAATTTAAAAAAAAACCCAAAAAAAACTAATTTTTATAAAATTTCCCCAAAAATTCCCATGGAAAATTTTTAAATAATAGAATTTTTTTTTTGGCTAAAAAACCCCTTTTTTTAAACCCCCCTAAAACCCATTTTTTTTTTGTTTTTTGTACATTTTTTAACACAGATCTCTTCCCGTTTAGAAAGGGAAAATTCCCTTTTCCCTTAATATAAAAAAAAATTTTGGGAAAAAGGGTTTTTAAAAAGGCTAAATGTTGGGAATAAAAAATAACAGTCATCAGCCCTGCAAAATTGTGTGTAAAAAATAAGTTTCCCTTTTAGGTGTTTTTAAGACCCTTTTAATTTTAAAAAGCGATATCAATTTTTATTAAAAACTTCATTTTAAACTTTGGGTTCAGGGTTTTGTTTGGATGTATCAAAAAAAAATTTTAAACTTATAAACACGTTTTTGAAATTTTTTTAATTAAAAATATTTTAAATAAAAACCCTTTGGTAACTAAAATTGTTAAAAAATTAAATTTTTAAATTTTGAAAACAAAAGGGGAAAAATTTTAAAAAGGTTCAAAAGAAAATTCTAAAAAAATGGTTTTCTTTAAGGCAGGCGTCACCTTTTTCCCCAAATTTTTGGGATAAAAGTTTGGACACACGAAAAAAGGAAAAATGTTAAAATTTGGGGAATCTGATCGTAATAACAATGGGTTTTCCCAATTTCGTGAGAGCATTTTTTTGGCCATCGAAAATCCCCGGCAGAATTTCCCCAATTTTTCCCGGCCCAGAAAAACCCCCCGTGAGGGGTTTTCCAAAATTTTTTCCAAAAAAAATCCCCCGAAGCCCATTGCAAAATGTTCTTTTTCCGGTTGTTCCCGTATGTTTTTTTCCCCTTAAAAAGGGGCCGCCCGTGAAGCCACCCTTTTTTAAAATTTGGGTGTAAAATTTTCGTTTTTTCTTCATGTAATTTTTCGGTGAATTTGGTTTTTTTTACCCCTCAAGAAGACAATAGGGAATAAAAAACGATAGTCTTTTAAAAAGGGAAATAAACACAAAAGGGTAAACCCCCCGGCCAAGACCGCGTGTCCCCCACCCGAAATTTTTGGACAATGCATCGGGGGGGGAAACCCCCGGATGGGGGAAGGAAAAAAGGAAATTTTTTTATTTGGCCCCAAGCTTTTGAAAATGTTTATCATGGTGGCCCATATAAAGGCTAGACCATTTTTTTCCCATCTTTTCCCCCTTTTTCCAAAATTCTTTTACAGGGAAAAATAAAAACTTCCATTATTTGAAATTTAATCTACAATTTTTTTTCAGTTTTTTGCTGCAAATTACATGTTTTAAATTGAGAGTAAACCCCAAAAAAAAAAAAACAGCACCCTTTCCCTACCCCAAAAGGGAAAACACCTTAGAAAAAGATGAGGCCCACTGGCCCATTGGTTCCCATGATAAATTTTTTTTCCGAATATGTTTAAACCCAAAAAACCAAAAAGGGGAAAGGAAAGCTTTCAATGAACGCAAGCCCCAACCCCGCCCAAAGGCAAAAAAGAACCAAGAAACCCAGGGAAGAGGCCCCAAAAAATCGGAAAAAAGGGCGCAAGGTAAAGCGGGTAGGCTTCCCCTTAAATGATACATAAAAAAAAAAAATTTTAAAACGCCCAAGGGAAAATCAAAAAAACAAATTAATGATTGATTTATTTTAATGGGAAAAAAAGGGAAAATACTTACCGTAGACGAGAAAAAAAAAAAGGACTCAAAAAAATTCCCCAAAACAGTAAAAATAACAAAAAAACATACACTGAGGAAAAAAAAAAGGGGGGTCCCCCCCCTTGGGGGGAAAACCCCGGTTTTTCCACCCCCCCATAAGTACTATTTGGGAGTTTTAAAACCCGGTTTAAATGGGCCCCAAAACCTACCCCCTTTAACCCCCCCCTTAATTTTTCCTTAAAAAAGGGGGTTTGGAAATAAAAAGGGGAAAAAAAAACCCCCAAAAAATTTAAAACCCAGTTTTTAGGGTTTTAAAAAGGTAAAATAAGTAAAACCCCCGAAAATGACCCAATTAGTACTTTAAAGAGGAATACCCAAAAGGCCATAACAAAAGAACCCCCAATTTTTTTTTTAAGGAAAAACCCCAAAGGTAAAAAAAAAAAAAAAAAATTCCCCCTTTAAAAGGGGGGCCC